GAAGAAGAGGAATACCAAAGGACACATTACGCCGGGAAATGGAGATAGACATGAGAAAAATGAACAAGAATTGGATGGAACTAGAAAAGAAGGCCAAGGACAGAGTGGGTTGGAGAATGTTGGTCGGCAGCCTATGTTCGATTGGGAGTAACAGGCGTAAGGAAGTAATATATTACATAATCAAAAAAATGATTTAATTAAATGACCGATCGGTAGTTTTTTTGATCATTTAGTAAAAAATAAAACAACTAAACAGTTAGAAACGAAAAAAATTAATAAAGATACTTACATAAGATTTGCAATTGTAAAACTCAGTTTAGTTTCATTTAATTAATGTAAAAGAACTTTATGGATAACCATTTTCATCGATATCAGTATACGGATTGTGGAGATTATTAAGTTTTTTTATACTGAGATCATGAACCGACTGATGTTAGACCACCATTGAAAACTTGGAAGCACTAGACGGTCGTCTTGTCCTATTGTGGGACTCCTCAGCAATGGGCATCCACGATCCTGCCTCGCAAGATTCGAATCAATGACCTATCGGTCTCTCGTGCAAACGCCTTACCTCTAGACCACTGAGACGGCCGGTATCCAACAGTGTTAATGTCTAATTTCAACTAATCCACGAAATTGAGCGACAAATCCAACATTGTCTTCAGTGCATTATTATTTCACAATAGACCAGGTTGAACTCTACTGATCATTTTGTTTTTATTTGGAGCATAGTCAATTACAATTGAACAATGATAATCTGGAAATCGATTGTATTTATGTGTTATATAACAATGATTTACAATTTATGATTAATTGAAACTATTAGGGAACATATGAATTAGCATAAAATCGATTTGTAGATTTTTCCCTTTTTTCCCCAACTGTCATTTGAAGAAACAAGAAGTGATTGTAATACGGTTTTTTTGTTCGTCATGTATATGAAAGAATAAATAAAGAGATATCATGCAAGCAAGATAGGTTGGAAATATATAAAGATAAATATGATTACGCAAAAGAACTTTAATAGCGCGAACAAGACAACACTATGGCTTCTTCAACGATACGGTGTGCCTGAGAAGACAGTCAATATCATGTGGAATTCTCATGATGGATTAAATTGTAAAATCGTTCATGGAAGACAGCTGACAAACTCGTTCGAGGTGAAGACCGGTGCTTACACTCATCATTTCTCTTTCTCCTGGCGATCCGATGGATCATGAAGACGTCAACATCTGAGAAGAAGCATGGGATACAGTAAACAGATAGGATGCAGACAGACAATCTACACTTCGTAGATGATATGACTCTTCTATCACACACATAACAACAAATGCAGGAGTAAATGATCAGTGTAACAACAGTCTCAGCAGCAGTACGTCTCAACATACACAAACGGAAAGGCAAGATTCTCATATACAACACAACATGCAACAATCAAATCACACTTGACGGAAAAACTTTCGAAGATGTTAAAACCTTTACATATCAGGACAGCATCACTGGTGAACACGGTGGATCTGATGCAAATATGAAAGTGTGGATCAGCATATCTACAACTGAAGAACATCTCGAACTCAAAACAACTGTCTGTCAATCAAAACCAAAGTTAGAATTTTCAATACAAATGTCAAGACAGTTTTACTGTATGGGATGGAAAGTTGGAGAACTTCGAAAGCCATCATCCAGAAGGTACAAGTGTTTATTAACATTTGTCTACGCAAAATACTTCGGATTCGTTGGTCAGATTCCAATGGAGGAAGAAATCAGGACGAAGCGCTGGAAGTGGATAGGACACATATTGAGGAAAGCACTTGACTGCGTCACAAGGCAAGCCGTTACCTAGAATCTTCAAGGCCAAAGTAGAAGAGGAAGACGAAAGAACACATTACGCCGAAAAATATAGACATACATGAGAAAAATGAACAAAAATGGGATAGAACGGGAAAGGAAGGCCCAGGACAGAGTGGGTTGGAGAATGCTGGTCGGCGGCCTATGCTTCATTAGGAGTAACAGACGTAAGTAATTAGGTAAGTACGTGAGTATGTAGTTAGTCCAAATATTATAATTACCAGCTGTTATGCGGTTGGAAGTAGTAGGAAGGAAACCTTAGATTTAGTTTCCAGGTTGGCTAGGTTTCATTATTTTGAAAAACTGATGCTTTCATTAGAATATATATATATAACAGTTGTCTACGTGAAATACTTCGGATCCACTGGCCAGACACCATCAGTAAAAACTTCTGTATGAGAGAACAAACCAGATTCCAGCGGAGGAAGAAATCAGGAAGAAGCTTCACAGTTTATTAGCGAATAACATAATTCAGAGAAAAGAGACTAATGTGTGCGAGTGTTTTAGTGAATACAGAGGTAAATTTATTGTCAAATAGAATCAAGACGCAACGAATCAAAACAATTAATAAGATTCAAGCATACACATTTACAAAAAAATAACCAAATTGTTACTGTCTGAATAACACTAACTGTTAAATAAGTTAACCATAAACAAAATTGATTGTAAGAGGTTTACTATACGGGAATACAAATCATCAAATTGTTTAGTCATTGGGTTCTTAATATTTCTACTTGTTATATGAGGCAAATATCTTTTTGATAGACGTTTGTGTTGATTATGTCATTCAGAAGAACAATAAAAGCTCCACAACCAAACAATCCAGCTTAGAGAATAAAACTTCAGCAAATATCTTTTATTAAATTATGTATTATGTTATAACTGAACACTATTGAAGAGTTTCGAACTAGTCAGAAACAGTTGTTCAGTGTTTTCTAACGTTCATGTCAATTCTAGTTGATACCACTTGTTACAAATAATCCTAAGATCAGAGATTAGGTAAGCCGTGACAACAATTAGAACTATACAAAAAACGTCTATAGATTATAGTCAAACATTAATCGAATTTCAGGTTAATAGAACAACCTGTTTGGCAGTCGGATAGAAACTCTAATATCTCACCTTTTTGTCAAACATTCCAAAAATATTTTCTGCAAAGACAAGGAAAACCTCACTTCGAGACCATTGAATATCACATCTCTAAACAAACAATACAGATGTGTAAACAAAGATGGATTGTGGTTAGCAGTAAAACCCAGGACGCGCATTTCGTCAAATTCGGAACTCAGTTGGTGTTAACTCTGGGACTCGAACCCAGTACCGTTCACTTCAAACGCCATCGCGTTACCCCGGAGTGAACACCAACTCTGAGATGCAGGTACATCCAGCTGACAAGTCCCAAATAGGACTAAACGCGCATCCTGGATTCCACTGCTAGCCACTATCCATCTTTGCTTAAGAATCTTGTGACTTAAGATAATATCGAGTCGATCCGCACAGTATACACGTATGCCAACAAGAGACTGATCAATTGCAGTTCTAAATAACAATGGGAAGATACAAGTAAAACAACAGCAAAAGATTTTAAACAATACAGATATCGTGTAATGATCAAAGACCTTAAACCTAGACTGAAGTGACTTTCATTGCAGAAACATATAAGAATTCTAGAGCTATTCCAACATGTTTTTTACAGATATATACAAAAATAAAATGCTTGATTTCACTACATTTGACTTGATTATTTATACATTAATAGAAATATTCTGCATAGTTAAACAGTCAAAAACAATAAACATGCATTCCAAATCCAAGAATATAAAGGAATTTATGGCGAGACTATAATTTCTGAACGAACCAATCAGGTATAAGATAACAGGTCTCGGATTTTGGCGTGAAATTCACCCACCCATTTGGAAACATAGAGTTTTGGTATTATAGTTGATGTCAGTACGTGATGAAAACCCTAAATCTGATTCCTAACTCTAACCATCAACTGTAAATCATAATCATTATTGTTAAAACTGCTTTATAACCCTCATTTGGTCCTAGTTATTATGTGTACACTGTCAAGATCACTTCAGCGTCGCTCAAACGTCGTCCATAAATTATAGCCTCACTGAATTTATATTACAAGCTATTTCCCTTTCAATGTATATTAATCAAGTTATATAACATTCAAACTGTCATTATATGAAGTGTTAAAATTGATTAAAATACCTTAGTTACATAAAAATCCATTAGTGAAAAGTTGATACACAGCACAACTTGATAAACTGTTTTATATAAGAAAAGAGGATAGGAATTATAAGATAAAGCGGCTTATTAAAAAGTCTTTATTTTCTCGGACACTGATTTTCTAATAGTATGCCGGAACGAAATAGGATTTTTTTGACATTCCTGGAGTTCTAGCTGGAGCTTTGAACACTGACGTTAAAATAAGACAGAAGTAAAACAGTTATCAATAATTTCATTAGATGATTGTTGAGCTGTATTGTAAACTAAATAAATTTAAGTTTATACAATTGAATGCTGACTCAGTGGTTTTAATGATGAACTATTCCTTTCGAGAACTGAAGATGCTAGGTTCGATCTCCATCATAAATTCATGGATGCTCCCTGCTGAGGAGTTCTAATACCTTTTGATTTTCAATGGTACCCCTATTGAGATCACTGCATGAAGAATGAGATCTATAAATATTCTTGTCAATTAACTTTATTCGTTTAACAAATCATAGATCATGTTTGATCCCATTATAATTCACCATTTTAATTCTCACATTAAAAATTGATAAACATGAAGTTCAAACTTTTTACTACTGAAGCTCTTCTTTAATGGTTAGAAACAGTTCAGTGATATTATTCTTTCTTTTTTGTACATTTTTCGGAAAAACGTACATATGCAACAGTTTTCTACAATTGATAAATAATTAAAAGAAAAAACAAATGGTTAAGTGGTTAAGTGGTCGCGCGCGAAACCAGTAGGTCCTAGGTTCGAATCTCGCAAGGGGTGAGGTCGTGGATGCGCACTGCTGAAGAGTCTCATACTAGGACGAAACGGCCGTCCAGTGCTTCCAGGTTTTCAATGGTGGTCTAACTTCAATTGACTCATGATTTTAACCAGTGAAATGAAAACGTCTTAATTATCTTACCTTCTCAGAGTTGATAGATCATTATTACTAGCAGCAAATAATAATGTAGTAACTGCATCTGTTCGATAAGAATCACGTGGTTTCCGTGGATCAATTTTTTTATCATAATGTAAATGACTTTCATAATGATGAAGGATAAATCTATGAACAAGTTCCTAATTGTATGAAAAGTGTTCCCAGGATGATCATAAACATGTAAAACAAAAAAAAGAGAGAGAAGGTGAAAAACAATCAATTACTATTATAGTGAACAGAACACCAGTGAGGACAATCGAATTATATTCAACACAAAATTACAGAGTTACTTGCTAAAATAGAAAAAAACCATACTATAATACCTAATTTGCAAAATGTTCAATAATTGTCTCGAACTTCGTTGTTCTTGCATTTCCATACTAATTGCTTTCTATTCCCGTCCTTCCCTTCTTGATCTTCCCCATCTTCTGCCGCCAGACATTACATTCTTGACTCGCATCATATATTACTTATATCAATATAAGCAGCAGGCACGACACTATGATATAGTTGCTTCATTTTTTGACATTATGCAAGTTTATGATTGATAGGCGATCAAATTATACTGTTTTGTAAATCCTCTGCAAGGTGGATTTACACTCGATATGTGACCCAATGTAGAACGATATTGAGACATGTAAAAATAAAATCATTTATTTATTTATTCATATAGTTGGGTGTAAGCCATACTTTTCACATGAGTAGATGATATGACATGACTAAGTTATTGTATTTAATGTTACAGTTCTATGGCATAATATGAACTTAGATTGTGTAGTTTCAGTTACATTATGAAGCCCATATAACTTATTCTAACTTCTGAACAAGCCAATCTATTCATTCGTTTTGAGTTACATTTTGACCTTGTTAATTATTCACTCAATAACCATGACTGTTTTTATGTAAGCGTATGTGTATGCATTTCTTATCTTACTCATCAAATGCCTGTAACTTCATTTCTTTTGGCTATAAATATAAATTCACGCTTGATTAAATCGAGTTGGCTCATATGCCTTCTCCAATGGGCGTCATTTCGCTTCACTCTTACTTCTTTGTTTCATCTCCCTGATTACCTTTTCAAATCAATGTGTGCATGAAATATACATATTCAAAATCCATATCTGTATTTGCCTTATTTAATTCCGCTATTCATCAACGTGAGTTAAATCAATCATAATATAAGAGGATAGCCAACATTCATTCGATCCAGTTATAGTCAGATATCGGGTCACTTAAATTTATCTCTAATATAAATCATGTGTCAAATTATTTATTTATTTATTTATTTATTTATTTAAACACATAAACATAGGTACAAGAAGGCATCAAGTAGATTTGCGCCCCACACAACCCGTGTTCCCAAACCGAAGCGTGTGGTTTTCTTAGAGGGCCACAGCCGGAGTTTTTGACCGAAAGGTCTGATTCACAAGGCAGTGGAACAACATAAGGAGATTCAGTCCCATGGCAGCCGGTGACCCACAATTGGTTCATACAATACTTGTTTCCTTAGGATCCTGGAGCTCATGTGCACCATTGATTTGGAATCAGGGTTTTCCAAATCCCCTAGGTGAACATTTCGTATCCACCAACCCAGTTAAAGCGCCGGACATTCGCTTTTCGTCCTTTCACTTTCGTAAACAATGGTAATGCCACGAGAAGGCAGTTACTAGGACTTCCCCGGAAGTGATTATATGCACATGGCCATGTGAAAACATTTCGAGAGGGAAGGCTGACACTCCCCACTCTTGACCGTTCCAAAGCATTAGGGGGTATGCATCAAAGAGATATAATCGAAATCTTTTATTATTAAAAAAACTACCAAATGAACTAATAAGTTAATGAACTCTACATATAGAATTAATACAATTAACGTAATTATAACGTGTTTAGACGAATCTCATAGAAACTATGAATATTTCCAGTTATCTTAAACATTAATTAAGTCATGAAAATCTTCCAGAAGACAAGACGTCCTATATAATTGAATTAAATAAAATAATTCACTGATAGACTGAATGTTAAAAAACAAATAATTAAATTTATTTAAAAAGTTAATGAAGTGAAAACTAAATAGATCCAAATAAACAAAATATGAAATCAGAATATCAATAGTTGAGATCATGAGTCGATTGAAGCTAGACCACCATGGAAAACATGGAAGAACTAGACGGCCGTCTCGCACTATTGTGGGACTCCTCAGCAGTGCGCATCCATGACCTCGCCACGCGGGATCTAAACCCAGAACTTATCAGTCTCGCACGCAAGCGCCTAACCACTAGACCACTGAGCTCACCGGCATCAAACGGTGTTAATGTCTAACTTCAGCTAATCCAAAAAATTGAGCAACGCATCCACCATTTTCATCTGTGAGTTACTGTCCAACAACTGACCCGGTTGAAGTTCACTGGTCACTGCTTCTCATTGGAACTACATGATATACATCTTGAGGCCGGTTAGTAGCGAGCGTATGTTGAGTAGTATCAGAAGGGGTTTTGTGGAGATTGTAGTAATTTCAGTAGTTGAGATCATGAGTCAATTGAAGCAACTGAAGTCAATTGAAATCAGAATAGTAGAGTAAGTAGTATGTTAATTACTGATTAGTCATACAAGAGATTGATTGCTATCTGAATAGCTCAATAGCGAATTCATAAATTATGGAGGTAAATAATGAAGATTTATATTCTAATGAAAGCATCAGTTTTTCAAAATAATGAAACCTAGCCAACCTGGAAACTAAATCTAAGGTTTCCTTCCTACTACTTCCAACCGCATAACAGCTGGTAATTATAATATTTGGACTAACTACATACTCACGTACTTACCTAATTACTTACGTCTGTTACTCCTAATGAAGCATAGGCCGCCGACCAGCATTCTCCAACCCACTCTGTCCTGGGCCTTCCTTTCCCGTTCTATCCCATTTTTGTTCATTTTTCTCATGTATGTCTATATTTTTCGGCGTAATGTGTTCTTTCGTCTTCCTCTTCTACTTTGGCCTTGAAGATTCTAGGTAACGGCTTGCCTTGTGACGCAGTCAAGTGCTTTCCTCAATATGTGTCCTATCCACTTCCAGCGCTTCGTCCTGATTTCTTCCTCCATTGGAATCTGACCAACGAATCCGAAGTATTTTGCGTAGACAAATGTTAATAAACACTTGTACCTTCTGGATGATGGCTTTCGAAGTTCTCCAACTTTCCATCCCATACAGTAAAACTGTCTTGACATTTGTATTGAAAATTCTAACTTTGGTTTTGATTGACAGACAGTTGTTTTGAGTTCGAGATGTTCTTCAGTTGTAGATATGCTGATCCACACTTTCATATTTGCATCAGATCCACCGTGTTCACCAGTGATGCTGTCCTGATATGTAAAGGTTTTAACATCTTCGAAAGTTTTTCCGTCAAGTGTGATTTGATTGTTGCATGTTGTGTTGTATATGAGAATCTTGCCTTTCCGTTTGTGTATGTTGAGACGTACTGCTGCTGAGACTGTTGTTACACTGATCATTTACTCCTGCATTTGTTGTTATGTGTGTGATAGAAGAGTCATATCATCTACGAAGTGTAGATTGTCTGTCTGCATCCTATCTGTTTACTGTATCCCATGCTTCATCTCAGATGTTGACGTCTTTAGTTGATTCATCAGGAGACTGGATTATTTCTACTCTTACTATTATTGATGTATTTGGAAAATTACATCATTTAATTTCATGAAAGATAATTATATCTATGCAATATTTTAATTTACTTCATTGAAGAATGACTTGTTAACAGTTTTACAATTAAGTTTGGAACATGATAACAATCTTTACTAGAAATTATTTTCAATTTTGAGAATGTTTAATTTTTATTCAGATACCGAAACTAATCTCTTTCAGTGTTATTTATTTCTAAGCTAATTAGATAACAAACTGACTCCAACAATGCCAATTCTGTTTACTAATATATCAATGGATGAAGATCAATTGTATACTTGTAGCTCTTAAATAATGAGCAAATACGATTGAATGATTATGTAAATGAAAGCTACAGTAATCAGGTTTTATAAGTATTTAAATATACCTTCAATTTTGCTAGTTCACTTTAATATTCATTCTAAACAAACTTCGTTCTAATATATAGTGCATTTAGAAATTGATCTTTTAAAGGAAGACAGAGATGTTTCAGGATGTTAACATACACAGAATACTCTAAAACATCAATTAAATGTTTTCATGAATTTAGTTGGTCCGCTACATCATTCACTAGTTATGTTAACAGCATTGATGAGACTATAATTTATGGATGACATTTGAGCGACGCCGAACTGACCTTGATGGTCTCCACCTAATGGTGCACATGGGCTCCAGTAACCTGCGGGAACAAATGGCGTATGAACCGATTGTTGGTCACCGGCTTCCATGGGACTGCATCTCCTTACGATGCTCCACTGCCTTGTGGGTTAGACCTTCAGGTCGAAGACTCGGGGAGTGGCCCCCTAAGAAAACCACCTGTTTCGGTTTGGGCACCCGGGCAGTATCACAGCCCTCACACATATCGAATGAGATTTGTGTGGCGCATATGTATTTGGTGCCTCCTTGTACCGATATCTACTAGGACTAAATGAGGGTTATAAAGCAGTTTGAACAATAACGATTATGATGTACAGTTCATGCCTTAGATTAGGAATTAGATTGAGCGTTTTCATCACGAAACGACATCAGCTAAAATGCCAAGATGCTATTTTTCCAAACGGGTTGTTGAATTTCACGCCAAAACCTAAAACCTGTTATCTTATACCTGATTGGTTCATCCATAAATTATAGTCTCACCGTCTATAACATATATAATTCAATGCTTGAAACTGATTCTCACAACGCTTTCTTCAATTTCACCATAAAGGAAATGATATAAGCTATTCATAGAGTAAGTTTTTCAGAGAGGAAATTAGTTTTGTTTTAGAAAAATGATTGGGAAAATAACTAAAAGTACACTTAAAGCAAAATGTAAACAAAAACAATGAAAATTCAAATAAGGAAACTTAGAAACAATCAGTCTGAATCTTTCAATCATTATAAATTCATAAAGCATATAATGAATGGTATATACGTGTATCTGATGAAAGTAGACTGATTGGCAGAAACTTTGAAGTTTCTCAAGATGATCAATGAAGCTCTACTCATATCAAATTTGATAAAATAATAACATAGAAAACTTTGTAAAGATTATCTAGTTTATAGGTTCTATAAATAGACTGATTTTAACTTAAGAACTGATGAAAAAAATGGGATTGACTGGCTAGGTGTTTCATACTAATATACAATTTAATAGAGCACGATTATGACTTAATATGAGATCGAAACTAAGATTTTCAAATATCAGAGATGATAATGGACAATGGTCGTGGATCTAAAGCTTTTGTGCTTGAACCTCTTGAATTCGGTATGCTACTACTGAGTATAAGCTATTATGAAGCCCTATACTAAAATGAAATGGATGATTTGCAATATATATCCGCGGTATATATCACAAATTTGCCAACGTTCTATTTATCAAACGCATAGAACCGAGGTAGTATTTTTTTTCAATTTTTCATCCTCTTCAAACAAGACTTCAATCTGACTTCATCATCACTTCTGACTTTTTAAAAGTTATAGTGATGATTAAGTGAAACTATAATTTATGGATGACTTTTGAACGACGCCAGACTGACCTTGAGGGTCTCTATCTACTTACTAGGGCTAAATCAAAGCTATAAAGTATTTTGAACAATAACGATTATGATTTACAGTTGATGGTTAGAGTTAGGAATTAGATCGAATGTTTTCATTACGAACTGATATCAACTATAATATTAAGACTCTATTTAACCAAATGGGTAAATGAATTTTGCGCTAAAATCTAAGACCCCGTTATCTTATATCTGATTGGTTCGTTCAGAAGTTATAGTCTCCCCGATGATTATTGTATTATACTGGAAGTGAAAAGTTAACTTAAAACTTTATTTTTTTTTAAATACAAAGACCATTTGGTTTCGAATTCCACATTTATCAATTATTTCAGTGTAAAACTGTGATGTTTGAATGAACTAAGTGATACCTTTGTATTTGTTGAACACTTGATTTCGAATTCTAAATACAGTACATTCATTTGTGGTTATCTAGCAGTTCTTGATTCGATTGCGTTATTTCTGGGATTCCTAGTTCAAATACTCCTGAATATTGAATTGGGGTCGCTAACTCCATGCCCAACTCTTCTCCTTTATCCGGGCTTGGGACCGGTAGTAACACCCTAAGGGACTCCAGGCGGAGGAAGACCAAATAACATATTACGCCGAAAAATGGAGATAGACATGAGAAAAATGAACAAGAATTGGATTGAACTAGAAAAGAAAGCCCAGGACAGAGTGGGTTGGAGAATGCTGGTCTACGGCCTATGCTCCATTAGGAGTAACAGGAGTAAGTAACTCGTGAATATTACAAAAACATTGTTCTAGCTGAACTAATAAACCCACACTCTAAGATTACAAACTAGTATCTTTACAATGTATCCGTTTACAACAAAACAAAACAAATGGGAAATCTAAGTAGTTGTTCTATTCTATACCAGTCAATATGAATTTGTTTTTGTTTATTTATTATACAACTACATTTTGTACAATATGAACTGTCCAAAAATACTGACTAGTTTGAACTTTTAACTCAGCTATACAAACAAACAAATAATAAAATCAATTCATCCATAACAATAAAAGAATCAGTAATTCATGGAATGTCAACTAAGGTTTCATTGATAATTACAAGAAAGAGTAAATCTATTGAAACCATATTAAAAATCGATTTGAAATGTTCTGAAAATTGTGAATTCAGTCAATAGATATACAACTATGGGTAATATGTTATTCTATTTACAAATAATCAATATTTCCAGAATATTAATGGATGTAATATGATTAAACAAATAAACAGAAGATAGGTCTTTAAACTAATCTAAAATTAGAGAGGGGTTATATGATGATGAAGAAGATTTGTAGTTCAGGTAGATGATTTTGATGTAATTTTTCTCTCTGAGCTGGATGGTTTTGTCGTGGAGGTTTCATCGTTCTTCTGAACGACATCATCAGCATAAACTTCAGGTAGAAGCGAAGTGTTCGAAGAACGATGAAAGCTCCACGATCAAACCATCCAGCTCAGAGAACAAAACTCCATTAAAAAGAGGGGGTTTGTGGATATTATAGTAATTTTAATAGTTGAATTCTTAAGTCGATTGAAGCTAGACCACTATGGTAAACCTGGAAGCATTGGATGGCTGTTTCATCCTATTACGAGACTCTTCATCAGACGTTCAATGCTCGCGCGCGAGACTGGTATGTCCTGGATTCGAACCTCGCGAAGCAGGAACGTGGATGAGAAGTGCTGAAGAGTCTCATACTAAGATGGAATCTTTAAAAAGAAATAATATTACCTATTGGGTTCTCAATCATTTAGAGACGAAAGTACTGAAATTATAGGTATAATCTAAATATTCTCAGTCTCATCTGATATACACTCATGAGTATACTTTGATGAGAACTTACATACTAATACGAAACAGTTATAATGCGATTATTGTTTTTATAAAAGTTTTCTAACATATTAGTTTACGTCGAAAGGAAGCGTTTTAGAAAACACTGAATAAACTTGAAATATGATAGAATTATCATCATAGTGAAAAAGGAATCTATCAATCTATTTCTACATATAACTCTGGCTTCAAACTGTGGTTAGCTAAGCATTTCATAGAGTAACATAGATCAAGGGTGATAAACTCACTGAATGCTTAACTCTACTTTGTAAATGATCTTGAAAAAAATATGGGTAAAACATAATATGCATTGTGTCATAAACGAAGTAATCGAATTTCAATTGTCTCCTCCTAAGTCATACTTTAAGAGGCTCTTACATGTAATAAACCTTCAATCATCAACCTACACAACTAGCGCGAATGGAGTATGTGAACTGATATACATATACCGGATTATCTAATGAAGAGAACAGCATCCTTCGTAATGGTTTGAACTAAAATCATCTTTCAAAGGTATATGTAGAAACTTCTAGAAGTAATTTTCATCTTTTTCTCAGTTTTATTATTTGGTCAGTTGCTCAAATAATAATCCTCCTAATAAGTACAGCGAATAACCGGAATTTTTTTAAAAAAAAACAGGAAAATTTAATTAAAACGAAATCAACGTTCAATAAGTGAATAGCACTGACTTGACAGAATTGTATACCTCTCGCTGAATTCCCATGTCTATCAATCGGTGGTGACCAAACAGCTAAACCAAGTAAATTAGGCACGACTACCATGATTATACCGGATACACCAGATTTACATGGTAAACCAACCTTTTAAGTAAATATAAAATGTTTATATATGTAAATATGTGAAAGAAAGCAATGAACGATTAGAGAAATGTGGTAATCATAAAACGATACTGTAAGGTTATGTATTTACGTATATTGTACAAAATGCATCAATATAAACTCGTCAGTATGGAGATTGTTGACCTTTCGTTGAACAACTATTAAAAATCAAGAAGTATTGTCCAGCTATGGTATGGAATTAACGTTTCCATAACCTCTTCAGTGACTGAACCAATGTCCTTCAAGTTTTGTGATAGTTATCTAAACATCAGCTCCCTTACATTATTAACAATAGTTAATTGTAGATACAGATAATCAGTAACTTTAATTTATAAAATAAGTTTTGGGTGAGACTGTAATTTACGGACAACCTTTGAGCAACGCTAAAGTGATCTTGAAAAAAACTCACCAACTTACTAAGGTCTAAAGAGGGTTATAAATTAGTGTGAGAAATCAGAATCGGAATTTAGAGTAAGAAGTTTGGGTTAAGAATTACAATTAGAGTTTTTGTCATGAACTGACGTCAGCTATAATGCTAAAACGCTATTTAACCATCTGGATGAATTAATTTTGTTCTGAAACCCAAGACTTGTTACCTTAAATCTGATTGGTTCGTCCATAAATTATAGTCTCGCCGAATTCTCTTTTTAACAAGATTATCAAAGTCATACTACAGAATAATTTTGTTTCAAGTACATCTTTTATAGATTTCATGATTGATGAATGTTCCTGCGTTTTTCGAATAACCGTCAATGACAATAATCACTGTTATTCTTGTCTAAGATAACTTAGCTTATTTATAATACAGGGATAAAATGTTCTGTTTAGTTGGAGATTTTTGCACAGACAGTTGAACAGTTTCGAAATGTTTTTCCTTTACAAACTGAAAAGGTTAAAGAATCACTGAAGGTCAGTAAGTGTGGTTCAGTATCACTTGCTATCACAGGTTAATTAAGGTATAAAATGTAGGCCATTTGAATGTAACTTATAGATTTTAGAGGAATCATGCTGCTAGAGAAACCTGAAATTCGTGGGTTCAAAACTCATATTTAAAGTGTACATTGTTAAGTAGTCAAAAATTAATAAAAAATACAGGACAATATACTATGTTTGTAGAGATTCCGAGTTCACCTAGTCTGAGAACGGAACAAAGACTCTGTGACCAAAGACCAATAAGGTAGCTATTCTGATGCGTTCCAGCTCTGCTAACTAGAAAATAAGTCGAAGTTCGAACGGGGGAATACATTCCGCAAGCAACCAGAAACACGAGCCATAACAACAGGCACAAATCAAACGTATATATACAGCATAAAACTGTCCTTGGGAAGCGTTACAAGATAGTATACTAAGATACAACGGACCAATAGTGTTTAAGATTCTCCTAAGTGGGAAATACGACGTGAAGGTGAAAAGAGCGCGTTTGGCGCGAAAACAAAAACAAGATATTTATCAAATGAGTTCTGAGGATCTAACATCCTCAACACAATGTATGTTCGACCCTTCAGTTGGTGTTATTCCATTACGAATAACCAGTTTATCTATAATACAATTAAGTTAACAATAATGGTAGTCTAGCATCAATCGGTTCATGATTTCAATCAAAACCTTAGGGATTTCCGCAACCACTAAACTGATAATTACCATGTGCTCACTAGTGACTAGCTTCGTGAGAAAATTCTCGGAGTTCTGGTGAGAAGACTTGACCAGTGGAGCTAATCCATATCGGGTAGAAACAGGTGTCTACCTCAGTACAATCGAAGATGGTCGAGTAATTTCGTGGATTGGTTGAGGTTAGACATTGACACCGCTAGATGCCGGCTCAGTGGTTCAGTAGACTAAGCGTTCGCGCGTGAGACTGAGGGCCCTAGGTTCGAATCCCGCGAGCGCGGTAGTAGATGCCCACTGCTGAGGAGTCCCATGATAGAGCGAAACGGCCGTTCAGTACCTCCAGGTTTTCAATGGTTGTCTAACATCAATCGGTTCATGATCTCAATCAAAAAATTAACAATCTCCACAACTCCTAAACTAACAAAAATAGTTTTTTAACTTAAAAATCTGATTTGCTTCCAGTTTCTTTAATTCAAAATGATAATTATCCCAGTAAATTTAAACTCAAAAGATGATACAACAATTTACCTTAAATGCAAATTGTCCTGAATAATCATACATTCCACATGAATGCATAACAGATAGAGTATCTCGTGCTGCAGCTGCACTTACTACAGTTTCATTTGTTAATGGATTAATACCACCATTTGCTAATGTTCCAGCCATAATACCAGCTGATTCACAAGTGACTTCAATTGAACATATTTGAAAATAAAAATCCATTAATTCACGTAATTCAAAAGTTGGCGGGAAACATTTATTTTCCCTCATATAATATGCAATAGCAAAATTACGATCAGCTGTTTCACGTTCTGATAAAAATCTAAAAATAATTTAATAAATAAAATAGGTAAACAAAAAAAAAGATCATAAATAATACTCAAATTCATATATTAGTGATCCAAAAGTATGAAAATGGTTCAAATAAATAGAATAGATCACCATAGAAAACTTGGAAGCACTGGACGGCTGTTTCGTTCTAGAATGGGACTTCTCAGGAAAAGTTGAGTGGTCGAGCGTGAGACTGATAGGTCCTGGGTTCGCGAGATGAGATCGTGGATGCAAACTTTTGAGGAGTCCCGTATTAAGATGAAACGTTCGTTCAGTGCTTTCAGGTTTTCTATGGTGGTCTAGCTTCAATTGATTCATGATCTCAACTATGGAGATAGAATGTTGTTTTTTTTGGAAATTATATCATATAGGAATTCAAAATGGTTTATAGTATAACAACTACCCGACAATCAATTTCGATTATGGTTAATTTTGGTTAATCCCATTTTTATTAACTTACTTAACAGATAATGTTATTTGAACAGTGATAATTCGCATATTTCTATGTACTATTATGATCACTATCTTCTCTGTATAAACGAGTACTCTTGATCACATGACAACCTACCTGCATATCTCTCTCTAGTTTAAAGATGTGACAGCTTTAATATCAACCATTCTCTTTCCCACAAATCCCATTATTAGCCTTTGCTTTGACTAGCTGTGTCTTGACTCGATTTGACTATGAATTCGCCTCTCTACTCCAAACACCCTCGATGGGCTTATAACTTTGTGATCCATGCTATCCGTTAATAAACTATAATCGCCATTCCTTATTGCCTTTTGATTTCAAACACCATTGGGGATTTATACAATAACGGTTATCATGGTGATTGATTAATGAAGCTAAACCACTACAACAGAATACATGTGAAATACTCGTGTAAAACTAACCAGTACATAATGTTAACTTGAATATATCTACATGCCAAATAAAATTCTAATTGTCAGGATAAATTAAGAGAACTTACAATGAAAAACAGTAAGAATGTAATTACAGATCGAATCAAATGTTTGACCAACGATTATATAATAAAATATAGATTGATTTCAATTCAGTAAGAACTAATAAGGAATAAGGAGTGACAACTAAATTATCCACATATTCGGAAGTATGTTCATATTTAATAATCATAATAATATTTGGATAAAGCAAATTTAAATTACGAAAATCCAATGGAAAAAAGTGTCTGCGTTTTTTTTGGTTAGCGTTTTTTTTAGCGAGTTAGTTTTCTACGGGATGGGGTCGCTAACCTCATGCTAAACCCTTCTCCTTTACCGGAGCTCGGGACCGGTAGTAACTCTAGAAGAGCTACAGGTGGAGTTTGAAGGGTGTCTGTACATTAATCAAATTCAGTTAACCTCTTATCAAGATGACTATTGATTTATTAGACCTGAAACTGACCAAGAAAGAACAGTAATTGAGCGTAATATTCTTACACAGAAAACTCCAGGTTCTTTATTGCTAAACAGCTACTACTTATGCTATTCAAAGGACGTTGAGTCTGAAACACTTCGTTAAGCAATAAATAACCTAATAAATTATTGAAAATAACTAATCAGACATGTTACTCTGAAACGTTTGAAATGGATGGAGTTTTCTAGTTTCGATCATACATGCAAACTGTATCAGAGAAGTAAGTGAATAACAACGATGTTATCAAATTCAAGTAATTTGTCTATTACCTTCAGTGTTACCATCAAAACTGTGGAAAACATTTTCCTGTATTGCACACTTTTCGAAGTGCTTAGAATAATCTATGAATTAGGATTTTTCTATTTTTTTCAGGGCTCTGAGTTCGACTTCATTCAAGAGATCGGTACTTAAACAGTAAACTATTAAAAATAGCTGATTATTATTAAATTTGACCCCCCGTTTACACTAGACAGGCTGAAACCAAGCTGTGAAAGATAAAACATTGAACCAATGATTCTTAATAGCTTGTAGATGAGGAAAACGTACTCAATGCTACTCAATAGTGGTACAGCATCATAACCAAAATATTTTATGTTAAATTCTATAAATAAGCAATGAGTACAGCTAACAGTGCTTAATTCAAATGATAAAGTTCAAATATTTTTCCTGACTGTAAGTACAATATACAGTTAGCTTTGATTTTCAATGGTAAAATGATGATAAGCGCTAGCATATGAATGTGACTGAAACCGAAATCTTTCAAAAACAAACAATCAAGGTTGTGATTGCAGGTAGTCGATAGGAAACCATAGACTTAGGTTTCATGCTATTTGGTAACCATCACTAACGTGAAGCTGTAATCTTGAAGGAACTAATAGTCTTTGGCAGATTCGATCCCGTGCCACCTAACTTAAAGACGTTACCACTGAATTGTTCTGGTCACTACTGACCTATGACAGAACTGAAATATATTTACACCTACTCGATCCTGTCAACTACTATCAGCCATCACCTTACGTATCAACCTGGTGTACGCGATGCCGAGTCATTCAGACTAGTGACTACATTGAAACTTGATCGATAGAATCTGATGAGTACTAAAATGTGTTTCACATACAAGATATTGGTCGCTACTAGGTGATCAATTGATTCGTCAATGAAAATGAACAGATTTTCTAATTCAGGTTTTTAGGAAGCGGTGAGATCGGACCATAAAACAGGTAAGGAATTGTATTGATTAGCTCGTTTAGACTGTCTGTCTGATACCAGTGACCTTCGGCTAACCAATGAGATAACAGCCGAGAGTAATAATAAATGATAATTGATCAGGAATACAATATCCCACACCTCGTCATCCAGTAGGCAGAATAAAGAACAACTCAGTAAGCAGATAGCTTATACAGTTCAAAGTTATGAATATCGAGTAAAATTCTGGCCTTACATCAAGAGAATTAAGAAGATGCAATCTACACATAACTGAGTCATAACAGAAACACAATTGAATAATAGGTCTGTGATAAATTAACAATAACTCTAAAAAAGCGAAGCGGTGAAGCTATAATTTATTGACGACCTTTGAGCAACGCCAGACTGACCTTGAGGGTCTCTACCTACTTACTAGGGCTAAATCAGTGTTGTAAAGCAGTTTGAACAATAACGATTATGATTTACAGCTGATGCTTAAGGTTAGGAATTAGACCGAGCGTTTTCATCATGAACTGACATCAGCTAAAATACCAAGATGTTATTTGATCAAATGGGTGGCTGAATTTCGCGCAAAAACCCAAAACATCTTATCGTAAATGTGATTGGTTCGTCCATAAATTATAGTCTCGCCCATTATTTATTAATTATCTAATAAGAATATAAATAATAACATCAGATAGGACCGTTCCGAAAGATCACTTTCGCCTCATATTTATCCTGACATATCATCAACTGATCGTAAAGGGAGAATTAAATTAAATAACTTCCACAAAATAACATTGAAAAAAATATCCGAAACTAGGTAATTCTGTGGATAATTATGTAAATCTCATAAACTGACATCATATGACAGTTTTGTTCCTGTTCCAAATTCTTTGTCAGTGTGAATAACAATAACAACGGTCGATTCTCCTCAGTAACATGAATAAACTATTCAGCTGTGAAGTTGAAATTTCACTCCTCTGTATATCTACTTTAATACATCTCAGATAGCCCATACCATTAATCTATTCTCATCAATGAATTACTGACTGATTTATCCACAAATTACTTGACTCTTCATCAATCAACATATCTTGGAGGTTTCCATAGAAACATTTTTCAAAGCTGATCCATCACTAACAAACACAGAATTATTATTATCTATTCAACTATAGAAATATAAAGTAATACAAAAATGTCAAACTTACACAGCATTATTAAATCCCATTGATAATCCACCAGCCATTTGACTAAATTTATTTTCAACATATTTAAAACGTTCTGAAGGATTTAAACTTGGTTGTAGTATACTACAAATAGCTAATGCTCCGGAATTTATTAAGGGATTATGTGGTTTATCTAGTTAATAAATAAACATTTTAAATAAATATTCATTATCAGAATGAGTTTTGTGGAGATTTTAGGAAATTTCACAGGTTGAAATCATGAGTCAGTTGAAGCTAGACCACCAATGAAAACCTGGAAGCACTGGACGGCCGTTTCGTCCTAGTATGGGACTCCTCAGCAGTGCGCATCCACTGGAGACAATGGTGTTCGGTGGCGCAACTTCGTGGATTGGTTGAAGTTACACATTAACACCGTTGGATGCCAGCCGGCTCAGTGGTCTAATGGTTAAGTGCTTGCGCGCGAAGCCAGTAGATCCTGGGTTCGAATCCCGCGGGGTGCGGGATCGTGGATGCGCACTGCTGAGGAGTCCCATACTAGGACGTAACGGCCGTCCAGTGCTTCCAGGTTTCCAATGGTGGTCTAGCTTCAACTGACTCATGATTTCAACCTGTGGAATATTCATTAGACAATAATTTTCAATAAACCATAAAATAAATTCATTTAATGTTGTTTTTACTTGTATCTTTCCATTGTTATTTAGGACTGTAATTGATCAGTCTCTTGTCGGCATATATCCATCCTGTTCGATCTGCCTCGATATTGCCTTAGATCACAAGCTTTATAAGCAAAGATGGATAGCGGCACAAGTAGATGGCTATCAGGACTCAGTAGTTAAGTGGATACCGCGATGGTGTTTGAAGCGGATGGTACTGGGTTCGAGTCTCAGATCAAACACCAACTCTGAGATGTAGGTACATCCAGCTAATGAGTCCCAAACAGGACGAAATGCGCATCCTCGATTCCACTGCTAACCACTATCCATCTTTGCTTATAAACTATAAAATATGTGCCGATATACTCATAATTAAGATAACTCATGTGAAATTAGTTAGTAGAGAATGTTAAATAAATTAGTTATCAAAGACTTTTATGGTTATTCACAACGCTTAATGTTTTTCAGAGGATAGATTTTTTAACAGTCCTTCTTATCATAAATTGACATTATTTAGAAGACTTAGGAAAACAAATGGATTGTTTCATCATAAATTAAAACTGACTCGTTAATACCGTGTATCCACGAACAAACCTCCAAGAAGGAACTTGAAGTTTGATTATGGACATAATGCCTTCAAACCTCTATTTTATTTTTTTACAACATAATAGTTTATTTTTAAAGAACAGATAAAATATAGCTAGCAATGATATTTAAGGTTAGCACTTTGTTATATTCGAGAATCGTTAGCTTAATACACAACTATCTTACAGTGTTAATATCTATACCACGACTTAAACCTAGTACTTTCTTTTTTACTTCAAACAACTTAAACATTATCCACCGTATCTACTAAGTTCAGAAAGTTATTAAATTGAATAAATAGTCTGAATTTCTTTTCCTTTTTTCAATATGACCATAAATTGACTTTTCTGGCCAGACTATAATTTATGAACGAATCAATCACGTATAAGAGAACAGATCTCGGATTTTGGCAGGAAATTCACTTATCCATTTGGCTAAACAAAGTCTTGTCATTATAGTTAATGTGAGTTCGTAATGGAAACCTGAAATCTAATTCTTAACCCTTAATCATCAATTGTAAATCCTAATTTGTATTCCTCATACAGTTTCATTATCCCAATTTGATCCCGGTTGTTAAGTAGACAGATAGGATGCAGTTGGACGATCTATACTTCGTAGATGATCTGGCTCTCCTATCACAAACGCAACAACAAATGCAGGAAAAGACGACCAGTGTAGCAGCAGTCTCAGCAGCAGTAGGTCTCAACATACACAAACGGAAAGGCAAGATTCTCCTATACAACACAGCATGCACCAATCCAACCACACTTGACAAAGAAGATTTGGAAGATGTAAAAACCTTTACATAACTGGCCAGCATCATTGATGAACACGGTGGATCTGATGCAGATGTGAAGGTGTGGATCGGTAAAGCAAGAGCATCATATTTACAACTGAAGAACGTCTCGGACTCAAAACAACCGTCAACCAACATCAAGGTCAGAATTTTCAATGCAAATGTCAACACAGTTCTACTGTATGAGGCGGAAACCTGGAGAACTACAAAAGCCATCATCCAGAAGATACAAGTGTTTATTAACAGTTGTCTACGCAAAATAATTCGGATCCGTTGGTCGGACACTATTAGCAATAACCAACTGTGGGAAAGAACAAACCAGATCCAAGCGGAGGAAGAAACCAGAAAGAAGCGCTGGAAGTGGATAGAACACACATTTAGGAAAGCACTCGACTGCATCACAAGACAAGCGCTCACATGGAATCCTCAAAGCCAAAGGAAAAGAGGAAGACCAAAGAACACATTACTCGGCGAAATGGAGACAGATATGAAGAAAAATGAACAAGAATTGGATGGAAGTAGAGAGGAAGGCCCACGACATAGTGGGTTGGAGAATGCTGGTCGACGGCCGATGCTCTATTAGGAGTAACAGGTGTAAATAAGTAAGTATTAAGTGAACACTTTCAAAGTATGTTTAGTATCGCTCAATGATCGTTCATAAATTATAAATCTTAACACTTTTCTTTTTTATTTGATTTATCATATTAACGAAATAAATAGATTCTGTCTATAAAAAAATATTTTATTGATAAATTTCTCAATAATAAATTATATCCCAATCTATGAAAAGATAAAATATGATTGGTTAATTTTAAAAGGATTCTAAAGTATGATTGGTTAATATCATTAATATAGATTTCTAGTATTTCTGTTTAAAAAAATTAAGTAACCGTTACAAAATTATAAATGGATAAAAAAAACGGGAAAATTTTTTATTGATTTTCATCCAGGTAGAAAAATTTACTGAAAATGAAATCATTATTTGAAGAAAGTGATATATATATATATATATATATATATATATATTTGAGTATCATAAGGGGTTTTATGGAGATTGTAGTAATTTCAATAATTGAGATCATGAGTCCATTGAAGCTAATGATGAAAAATGGTGAATCTGATGCTCAATTTCGTAAATTGGTTGAAGTTAAACATTAACACCGTTGGATGCTGGCCAGATCAATGGTCTAGTGGTTAAGCGCTCTTGTGCGAGACTGGGTTCGAATCTTGCAATACGGGATTGTGAATGTGCACTGTTGAGAAGTCCCACAATAGAACGAAATGACCGTTCAGTGCTTCCGGGTTTTTCATAATGATCTAGCTTCAATAGACTCATGATCTCAACAATTGATATTTATTTTAAAAAATTAATAAAATTATTTGATTTATTTGAATTTAAAAAAAGAAAAAAAATGGTACTTTTCATAGTTTATATCAACTTACCCACATACGCCTGTTACTCCTCATGGAGGAGAATGGGCCGCCCACCAACATTCTCCATCTAACCCTATCCTGGAAAATTTTTTCAAGCTCTTTCCAGTTGTTATTCATCCTTCTCATATCTGCTTCTATTTCCCAACGTAATGTATTCTTTGGCCTTCCTCCTTTCCGTTTCCCTTCAGAATTTTAATTTAGGGGTTGCCTCGTGATGCAGTTTGATGATTTCCGTAATGTATGTTCTATCCATTTCCATCATCTTTTGCTAAGTTTCGCTTCAGATGAAAGCTGGTTTGTTCTCTTCCAGAGAAGGCTGTTGCTGATGTTATCAGGTCATTGGATGTTGAGTATCTTGCGTAGACAACTATTTATAAATACTTATACCATCTTGATGATGGTTGTCGTAGTTCTCCAAGTATCAGCTCCGTACAGTAGAACTGTCTTGATTTTCGTATTGAATGTTCTGACTTTGATATTGGTTGAAAGATTTTTTGAGTTCCATATGTTCTTCAATTGTTGGAATGCGGCTCTTGCTTTGCTAATCCTCGCCTCCACGTCTGCATCCGATCCTCTTTGTTCATCGATGATGCTTCTCAGGTAAGTGAAAGATTCCAAATCTTCCGAAGTTTCGCCATCAGTTGTGATTGGGTTGGTGTTCACCGTGTTGTATTTGAGGATCTTACTTTTTCTTTTGTGTATGTTGAGGCCTACTGATGCATAGGCTTCTGTTATACTAGTTCTCATCATCTACATTTGTTCGTGTGTATGGGATAAGAGGGCTAGGTCATCAAGGATTGATCTTCATTAAACGACAATTAAAAGTTAAACAGTACCAGATAGTTATTTGGTCGTACTATAAAACCTTCTATATATACGATCTCGAAAAAGATACAGTTCAAATTTTTTAGATCTCATACTGAGCGCTTACTATTTTAGATGATGAATCAATATTCAATAGTTAATATTCTTGACTTCAATCAATTCACGATATGCTACTCAATTATCTTTTTTCTCAAATTCATCAATGAATATTTGCCTCATATCTAACATAATTGAACTCCATTATTTATAGAAAAAAAATTATAAAAGGTAAAAACTATTAAACATAATTTGATGAAAAACTATAGATAAATAATTAGATTGACTTCATTGTTTGAGATCATGAACCGATTGATGTTAGACCACCATTAAAAACCTGGAAGCACTGGACTGCCGTTTCGTCTTATTGTGGGACTCTTCAGCAGTGGGCATCCACGACCTCGCTCGCGGTATTCGAACCCAGGGCCTTCAGTCTCGCATGCGAACGCTCAACCTACTAAACTACTGAACCAACCGGCATCCAACGGTGTTAATGTCTAACCTCAACCAATCCACTAAATTTCGTGGCCATCTTCCATTTTATTGAGGTAGATACCTATCCCTAGCCGACATGAATTAGCTCAACTGGTCAAGTCTTCTCACTAGACCTCCGAGAATTCCCTCATGAAGCTTTACTGTTTTCAATTATTAAAGAGTAATACATCTGAGGTTGCCTTATTCCCACAAAATTAGTAATAAATATTTTGTATAGTTACTGAATGGTTTCTATCGTAAATATTAAGAGATAATTTGATATGAATAGTAGTAATAAAAATATAATGAAAAAGAGTTAAAATCTTTGAAAACAATGGAAAAGATTTGTAACTCAATTCGATAATTTGATGCTATTGATTTTGTTGAGTGTAATGGTTTAATATTAAAGTATGTACAGAATAACAATGAAATTTTGTTGATTCATTTATTTTTAATTTAGATAATTCAGTAATATTAAAAGTACAATGTGATGTGTGCTACTTATATCCATAAGAGTAGTATATGACAATAGTCAGGAAGAGAATGTATTTCAGTAGAAGATCGAGAAGGAAAGAACAGGAACAGAAAGTATGCAGTAACAATGATGTTTAAGACGATTGATTAATCTATTTCAAATGAAATATTTACTTTGTGGTTCTCAGATTTTACTAAGCTATGCCGTAATTTTGTGTTCAAATACATTCGGTTGCCCCCCATTTATGTTTTCCTTCACTACAACAATATTAGATTATTTAACAAATGGTTCTAAAACTTAACTTGAATTATCAACCTACTTTTATGATTTAAAGAAATTTGATTGAATGGTAATCCTGATGGTTCATAGCCAACATATTGATGAACATGTTGTGGACCTAAATCGGTCAAAGCTAATGCATATGTAATTGGTTTACTACTAGATTGTATTGTAAATGGGATAGTGCTGTCACCCATGGATAAGCTAATGAAATTTAAGAAAAAAAGGAGAAATAAACACAAAAGAGTATCAATATTGAATATATATATATACAACAATCTTGAATAAACTTGTTATTTAGATGGTAGTGTCTCTTAAATGATTCCATTTAATAATTGTTTTAGTGAACAAACAGACATTAATAGAAGAGAATATGTTAAAATTAATGAAAAGTTGTTACATCAAAGCAAGAGATTCGCCAACAATGATCGTTTACAATCACTTAAACATTGATTCTTTTGATAACAGTCCATTGCTCACTTTTGATCACCTCAGTTAATTCATGATTTAGTATGTGTGATCTTTATAAGCGTTACTGTGGTTATTTAGATTTAGTTAACTTTATCAATAAAATGGTTTTATAGTGAAAATGTTTTCCGAATTTTGTCTAGAAGATAATCACAACAAAACACATAATTACTACTTATATCAGTGACTTTGTAGAAAATTTGGCTTTTTACAAATTTTATTGGCTATAGTTGAAGAACGTATAGAACTTAAAACAACTGTCAAGTTATGTCAAAGTTAGAATCTTCAATAGGAACGTCAAGAAAATACTAATGTACGGAGTTGAAACCTGGCGAAATATCACAACCATTATCAAAAATGTACCTTGAACTATTTACTTTACAACATCAATTCTAAATTTCTCAATGGGAACTTGAACATCAATGAGGGGTAGACAGTTTGGCACTATTTTATATTATATAATGTCCTTCAAATCCAAATGTAAAAGTATTTATAGATAATTGTCTATACAAGATACTCAATGTCCGTTGGTCGGATACCATCAGCAACAGCCTTCTATAGGAGAGGACAAACCAGCTACCAGCTGAAGAGGAAATGAGAAAAACTCGTTGGAAGCGGATGGCACATACGTTGCGGAAATCACCAAACTGAATCACGAGGCAAGCCCTAACTTAGAATCCTGAATGGAAGCAGGAAAAGAGGAAGGTCAAAGAACACATTACATCGGAAATTGAAGCAGACATGAAAAGGATAAATAGCGACCGGAAAGGATTGCCCATGACAGAGTTCGATGGAGAATGTTGATGGACGATCTATTGTCCTCAACGAGGGCTAACAGGCGTAAGTAAGTAATTGGTTAATTAAAAAAAGATGTTTGAATGAAACGGGATACAACGGACATCTAGGATGTAGTTGGACGATCTAGACTTCACAGATGATCCGGCCCTTCTATCACAAACGCAACAACAAATGCAGGAAAAGACGACCAGTGTAGCAGCAGTCTCAGCAGCAGTACGTCTCAACATACACAAAGAAAAAACCAAGATTCTCCGATACAACACAACATGCACCAATCCAGCAACACTTGACAGAGAGGTTTTGGTAAATGCAAAAACCTTTACATATCAGAACAGCATCACTGATGAACATGGTGGATCTGATGCAGATGTGAAGGTATGGATCGGCAAAGCAAGAGCAGCATATCTACAACTGAAGGACATCTCGAACTCAAAACAACTGTCTGTCAATCAACACCCGGGTCAGAATTTTCAATGCAAAGGTCAAGACAGTTTTATTGTATGAGATGGAAAGTTAGAGAACTACAAAAGCCATCATCCAGAAGATACAAGTGTTTATTAACAGTTGTCTACGTGAAATACTTCGGATTCGTTGGTCAGATTCCAATGGAGGAAGAAATCAGGAAGAAGCGTTGTAACTGGATAGGACACACATTGAGGAAAGCACCCAACTGCGTCAGAAAGCAAGCCCTCACATAGAATCTTCAAGGCTAAAGGGAAAGAGGAAGACCAAAGAACACATTACCTCGGGAAATGGAGATAAAGATGAGAAAAATGAACAAGAATTGGATGGGAGTAGAGAGGAAGGCCCACGACGTAGTGGGTTGGAGAATGCTGGTCGTCGGCCTATGCTCCTTTGGGAGTAACAAGCGTAAGTAAGTAAGTTTGAATGAACATACAGTAATTGTTTATCAAGAATTCAACGGATCATATAAGTTTCTTCTAACATCCTGAAGTAAGCTATTCATTCATCATCAAAGAGCAGTGGCTTATTGTTAGGTAGAGTTTAAACAAGTTGCAAATCTGAATTCATTGTATCTAAATCCATTAAGCAACTTTCTACTAAGTTTTTACATTAAGTTATATTATTGATATTAGATACATAACCCTGAATCGAATCTCTGCCTAGAGATACTCATGATATATATATATATATATATATATATATATATATATATATATTTTCATATTCTTAAGAAGGCCACCAAAGTTATGTTTTCATGACATTTTGTAAATTTTATTAGGCTACTTTTAAAAAAGGTTGAAGTTTATTTTTGGGGATCATACTATTCAGTAAAATAAATTCACTGATGCATTCAGCGAATACAACCAATAAGTTGTAGCTGAACATATGTTCAAGTGATCAAATTCTACACAAACATCAGAAAAGAAAAACGAAGTAAAACAAAGAGTAATTATCAATCCATATCATTAACTGCTAGGTTATATGTTAGTTTGATCATCTTATTTTTATTTTTTTATTTGGGATAATAATAATAATTATTATTATCATCAGCTTTATTCAATATTATATTTTTGGTACAATATAGAATTCTCAGCACAAAGTATTTCAACAAGTTTCCGTTTCTTTCTTCTTGGTCGGTCCTGGCGATAAATATTGAGCGATCTCCAGTTAGATGTTAGCAGTCCAGTAAATGAACATCTGAATAATGTACATCCTTTTCGTTGTATATTGCCAGCAACCACATTGCCTCTTATTGAGTTTTTTTGTAATTTTGACAATGAAAGGTTGTACACTTTTCAGAAACGCAGCAGAATAGGTTATGCGGTTAAAAGACATAATGATAGATTAAAACAAACAAAAAAATAACTTTTGAAATATCTAGATGGCAGGAACAGGTAGCCCAGATGCTCAAGCAGGCCGCTCTTTATTCATAGCCTTCATCCAATCTACTCCTATACAAGCTAATATAACGCTACAAAAGATTCAATGTCTTGACTAACGTATTCAATAAAGGTTTACAACCTTATTAATTACCCTACCATCTCTACTTATATATTCAATTACCTAAATGAAAACTACAATCATCAAAAATATTAGAAACCCATGATTATCATTCCTGCTTGAGCATCTGGGCTACCTGTTCCTGTCATCTAAATATTTCAACAAGTTATCTATTTTTGTTTGTTTTAATATATCATTATGTTTATTAATCGTATGACCTATTCTGCTGCGTTTCTGAAAAGTGTACAACCTTTCGTTGTCAAAGTTACTAAAAGCTCAATAAGAGATAATGTGGTCGCTGGCAATATGCAGAGAAAAGAATATACATTATTCAGATGTTTAATTACTGGACTGCTAAAATCTAACTGGCTATCACTCAATATTTATCGTCAGGATCGACCCAGAAGAAAGAAACGGAAACTTGTTGAAATACTTTGTGCTGAGAATTCTATATTGTACCGAAAATATAATATTGAATAAAGCTTATAATAATAATAATTAAAAAAAAATAAAAATGTATTTTATGTATTAAAACCGATTAAACTTAGAATCGATTTGAAAGTAATTCACTTATATAATTGATAGTATTCTTTCGATAACCTTTCTTCGAAACAATTAAAAATTATTGAAAGGCGCCATTTAATTACCTTTGAAAAAAACGAATTACCATATTATTAGAATTAGAATTCATTTTTACGTTTAAAACAGATAAATATTACTATGATTAGTAGTATAAATATAGATATGGCTTATTCTAGTTTAAAATTTTAGTTTATTGTATTAATCAATTGAAAAGAGAAAAGTAATTTTACTAGTTGTGTAAGGCATGTAGTTTATCGAATTCATTGGATTGTTTTTATGATATTGCAATTGATTAATCACTGAGTGATGATCAATGTCATGTGTGTCAAGTCCTTCTTAGTGCAGATCGAATCCTATCGACCAAGTTGCAATGTGGCCACTAGTCTAGGTGACTCGACATCACGTGCACTATTTTGAGATTAGATGGTGGTTGGAGGTAGTTGACAGGAAACTCTGGACCCGGGTTTCGTGCTACTTGGCAACGTCTATAACTGTGAAGCTGGGTGACAGGTGATCGAATCTTTCAGGGAGCATTAGTTCCACCAAGATTACAGGTACATCTTGTTAACGAGTGCCAAGTAGCACGAAACCCGGATCCAGGGTTTCCTGTTGACTACCTCCCACCACCATCTAAATGTTTTTATTATAACTTGATTAAATTGGAAGAGTAAGTAAAATCTATGTGAAGGTAATTAACACTGTAGTGAAAAATGTTTTATTCAGAAAGGAGTATTGTCGATATTATAGTAATTTTAATAGTTGAATTCATGAGTCAATTGAAGCTAGACCACCATGGCAAACCTGGACGACGCTTCATCTTAGTAGGGGACTCCTGAGCAGTGCACACCCACGACCTCACCTCGCGAGAATCGAACCCAGGACCTACCAGTCTCGCACACGAACGCTTAACCTTTAGACCATTGAGCCGGCATTCAATGGCCTTAATGTCCAACTTCAACCAATCCAAGAAGTTGCGCCACAACAGATCCGGTTGAACTTCTTTGGTCACGGCTTCTCACTAGAACTCCAGGAAATACCTCTTGTAGACCGTCACTAGTAAGCATATGATGATTATAATCAGAGAGGGGTTTTGTGGATATAATACTAATTTAGTAGTTTAATTTATGAGTCAATTGAAGCTGGACGACTAGTGCTTCCAGGTTTTCCATGATGGTCTAGGTTCAATTGACTCATGAATTCAACTACTAAACGTTTTTTTGTTAAGATTTATAATAAACTCATGAAAGATACTTAGTAGCTCAAAGTGTTACAGATATATTCATTTGTTAGTTTCCTTTAAAATCTTTAATTTAAGTATTATTTAATTGTTAGGTCCCGATAAGCATAATGAATGGTAACATTTAGGATCCATTTATGGACCAATAATATGCGTATATTTTTATCGTATATTTGTCATGTAACTAAACTATTCATATTCAAGTCCCTCTTATCATAAGCTTTATTTTGATCTATGAACTATTAATATATAATTTACTATTCTTGAGTTATTCCTTGTCTATTAATTACTACCTCCCTCATTCACAGCCACATTTGACTAAGTCTTGTACAAATGTTGTTTCCTATTTTATGGTACGGTGTAGTCTGTTTGATTTGTATATGAACTCAGTACGTTTGAAATATAAGGATTCATATTGCAGAGGCTGAGACTGGTGTTCTGGACTTAACTGGCTAGGCTAGGAGGAAAGTAGAACCAATCAGGACTCTAGGCTGCTCGTACTTTTTTACGCGTCCTTGGTTCGATCGATAATTCACTGCCCTCTAATTGGCGGTATTATTACGTTATTTATTAACAGGGCACTCAGGCCACAAGTTATAACAATTGGCGACGGGGATGGGATTCGAACCCACGTCAGGAAACCCTAATGTCACAATGTCATTCTTCTCAGTTGATCAATAATTTTCTAATTCTACGTTGTTTATATCTGTATCTATTTTGGCCTTAAATAATTTGGGAGATAGTTAATTTATAGGCTATTATTTGATGGAATAATATCATTCAAAATAAACACAGTAAGAATTAGCAATTTCTTAACTTTACATGGTGATTATTGGACTGAATACATACGACTACTTTAAAATAATTGAAGTTATGAGTAGTTAATTACATGATAAAAGAATAAACAACATTTCTTGAATAATTTCGATATTCATTACTATTATAAGACACTAAAAGACACCCATCTTTATTTCCTAATAGAATCTATAACATGATACATTCTATTGGACAAAATAATAACTCACTTATAAATTTCAATCTAATGGATGCCAATCATTCAGTAGATAGAAACTATTAATTGATGAAAATTTTCATCTTATTAGTAGATAATGAAGAATGAAACCACTTTCAGTAAGAATTTTGAATTGATTTGCCCTATTTATTTTAAACAATCCTCATCATTAGTAACAAAATCATTTAGAAACAAGAAGGCTTTATAAAACGCTTTGTCTCAATACTTGCCTTCTCAACAATTCACACAGAGGATGCAGTCACTAGTAGTAATAGTAATTGTAGTAGTAAATAATTACTATACCGCTAAACACGGTAAATATACCTATGGTGAATCATATCGCGGCCCGGATAGCCCAGTGGTAACGCCTATGACTGTGAAGCTGGATGATACGGGATCGAATATATATTGTAAATCATCTGTTCAAACTTGAAAGAATTCATCACACTTACCGTTGTCCATCGACAGTACACAATGATAATCCCCAATAGTTTGGATTCATTTCTTTTAATTCTGGTATATAACTGGCTACTTGACCACTTGTATTTTCTTTGCATAAATTAAAAACTGTTTGAATTTCACTTGCAAATGATTCAAAATCTGGTATACAAAAATCATTTGTCATAATGCGTAATAACATATGGAGATTTTCTTTTGCTACACTGAAATAAGAAACGCAGTGTAATTTGAGATAGTGGAGAGAAGATTTGTAGCTCTGGTGGATGATTTTGATGAAGTTTTGTTCTCTGAGCTGGATGGTTTGGTCAAGGAATTTTCATCGTTCTGGTTTGTGCTGACGAACTCGTTCAGAAGAACGATGAAAGCTCCACGACCAAACCATCCAGCTCAGAGAACAAAACTCCATCAAAACGATGTAATTTAATTTATCATATAATAATTTCAGTATAAATAGAAATCAATAAAATAACCAATAAAACTGAGTGGAGTACTGAGAAAACACTATATTTCCGAACTTATATCATCAAGAACACATACTCAGAGACTGACAAAGCATATAATCCAGGACTACCGGGAAACTAACAGTGAGGAAGATACTTTCAAGTCACTGAGTAGGAATTCAGTGGCTCATATTTTAAATCTAGCTACTGTGATACAGCGTGATTATCAATGAATAATATCAATGATAATAAATTTGTTGAAAAGAGATCCCTTCGCTGAACTTCGTGTCTTAATTTTAATGTTTAAATGGGAATTATCTGTCAAACAAATAAGTCTTAGCATACTTTGAAATCAACAGATACACATTTTTATGAGCTAACTGACCAATTACTGGTAAATAATGTCAGCAGTATGGGGTTGTAGAGATTCATTATCTCAGTCAAAAAAAGTGTCATACCTATCTAATCCTTGGTTCTGATAGAACTCGGTGGACTAGTTCACCAATTAGTCACTAGTCTAAGTGAATAAATACTGCAATGTTTGATAGTAATGGACAAAAATCTCTAAATCTCGATTTGGGATAGATAATACACGTCATAAATGCAACCCGGTGAACTTTGAATAGAACTAAGAAGTAAGTGATATAACATTGATTGCTACTCAGTGATTAATGTACAGATTTCAGTAGTACATAAAGTCTTTCAAATCACAAATATACTAATTTACTGTTTTCTGTTGTGAAAATGTGACCCGAGCGTTTGATCTCCATCCAAAGCATGAGTTCTAGTAAAGATTATACATATATATTAATGAGAATAACTTAGCACAATGTCCTCCACTTGCCTATTACGATTAATATTGTATCTTGAGGATAAAGAACTATGAATTACGCCATACACTTGTTTAGATTTATTCAGTTTATCACTTTCTTAATTTTTAATCAATATATTATCAAGGCTAGATACACTGAATACATATACATTTAGACGATTTGGAATTCCTCGAGAAATGAACTAACTGTGTTAGCATAATCCGCGCCTGATAATCTTCGTATTACTAGTATAATGGTTGTGGAGATTATTAAGTTTTTGATTGAGATCATGAACCTATTGATGTTAGACCACCACCTTTGGAAACCTGGAAGCACTGGACGGCCGTTCCGTCCCAGTATGGGACTCCTCAGTAGTGCGCATCCACGATCCCGCTCGCGGGATTCGAACCCAGGGCCCTCAGTATCATGAGCGAACGCTTAACTAACTGGACCATTGAGCTGGCATCCAATTGTGATAGTGTTTAACATCAACTAACCCACGAAATTTCCAAACCAACTTCCGTTGTACTGAGGTAAATACCTGTCTCTACCCGACATGGATTAGCTCCACTGGTCACGACTTCTCACTAGAACTCCGAGAATCCCCTCGCGAAGCTAGTCACTAGTGAGCACATGTTGATCGCAATTTCGTGGATTGGTTGATGTTAGATACTATCACAATTAGATGCCAGCTCAGTGGTCCAGTTAGTTAAGCGTTCGCTCATGATACTGAGGGCCCTGGGTTCGAATCTCGCGAGCGGGATCGTGGATGCGCACTGCTGAGGAGTCCCATACTGGGATGGAACGGCCGTCCAGTGCTTCCAGGTTTCCAAAGGTGGTGGTCTAACATCAATAGGTTCATGATCTCAATCAGAAAAAATCTTCGTCTTCTTATTACATTATCGAAATTTATCAAAGGGACTAATTGCTTTAAAAATTTTATCTCATATAAAACATAAATAAAACTAATCAATCATTACACAACGTACATTCGAAATGTTTCTCTATCCAACGTTAATGATTTACTTTGTAGAACATTTCGATTGATTTTATTACCTTGTAATTCATTTAATGCTTTTGTAAATTTTGCTAATCTTGGATCATTCAATGATATACCAGCTTTATTCATTAACTTTAAAATGAAGTAAAGAATTTAATGATAAAATGTCAATTTAAAGTTTTATAAATATATTTCTTTAAATAAAATATGAAAAAATTCATTCATGTTCACAGTAGTAATGTGGTGTAAGCTACTTATGTCGATATAAGTAGTATGTAACACTAATCAGAAGTGGAATGCCTGGTAGCAGAAGGATGGGAAGATCGAATCAAAGAGAACGGAAACAGAAGGTAATTGTTAATTCAGTGAAGGAACGATAAAGTTTGAGACAACTGATGTAAGATCTACAAATGTATTATTGAACGTATGGTTTCCGCATTTTACCAAAGAACTCTGTAATTTTGCATTAAAATACATTCGCTTGTCCTCATCTGTGTTCTTGTTCATTACAGTAATAACAGTTTATCGGTCAATATTTTATAGCTGACTGTTGTAATCAGGTTAATCTTAAGGCGAAAATGTATATGAATTTGTTGTTTATTTTATCACGGCTTAAATAAAAATATTGCATAACTAAGGTGAAAGAATTAGTAGAGACTATTCTATATGAAATTAGTTTTGATTAATGATTACCATCATCTTTGGAACTATTGAAAACTATTTAACATTAAACAGCTTTGCTAATAATACATATTCTGAAGATTTTTCTAGTTTTACGCTCCTCAGTAATGCATATCCAAATATTCACTGAATTAAGAACCTAGTATTGAAGTGTGTGCTAATCATGTTGATAGATATAAGTAGTATGTAACATCAATCGAAAGTAGAATACCTGCCAGCAGAAGGTTGAGAAGATCGAATAGAAGAAAACTGCAACATAGAGTGATTGATATGGAAATGAAGAAACAACAAATTCTGAGACAATTGATGGATGGATGGTATTCACATTTTACTAAATAACTCTGTAATTTCATATACAAATGCATTCGATTGTCGTTCACAACAGTACCTTTTATTCTTATATCACAGATTACTTCTAAACCGTTCAAGTATATTCAATTATACATTTAATATTTATCACGAGGCAAGCCTTAACTTGGAATCCTGAAGGGAAACAGAAAAGAGGAAGATCAAATGACACATTACGTCGGGAAATAGAAGCAGATGTGAAAAAGGATGGATAACTACTGGGAAGAGCTGGAAAGCATTGGCCAAAACACGGTTGGATGGAGAGTGCTGGTGGGCAGCCTATGCTCCTCGACAAGGAGCAACAGGTGTAAGTAAGTAAGTAAGTTATAAGTATATGAAGTATTTAAATGTTTTATTTACATTAAAAGTGAGATTACTACTGATATTTCACCAGTACATTTTAATTATCAGTAGAAATAATAAATATTTCGTAGTATTTATTCTTAATTTATAAATACTTTATATATTGTTATTATTAAATGATGTTTCCTTCACATTCACATATGAATATATAATTATTTTATTTATTTATTTAAACACATAAACATTCGTACAAGGAGGGACCAGATACACATGTGCCATACTCATTCGATTTGTGTGAGGACTGTGATACTGCCCGCACACTCAAACGGAAGCAGGTGGTTTTCTTAGGGAGCCACACCCGGAGACTTCGACCTAAAGGTTTGATCCATAAGGCAGTGTAGCAACGTCAGGATATGCGTTTCCATGGTAGCCGGTGGCCAACGATTGGTTCATACGACATTTGTTCCCTCAGGATCCTGAAGCCCATGTACACCATTGGTTTGGAATCAGGGTTTTCTAAATCCCCTAGGTGAACATTTCATGTCCACCAACCCAGTTAAAGTGCCGGACATTCACTTTTCGTCCTCTCGATTTCGTAAACAGCATCCCCGCCACGAGGAAGTAGTGAGTAGGACTTCCCTGGTAGTGGTTGTTTGCACGTGGCTATATGAAAGCACTTTTAGAAGGAGAGGTGACTCTCCTCATTCTCGGCCGTACCAGGGCATTTGGAGGCTATGAATATATAAGTATTCTAATAATTATGAAAACCATTTTTTCTTCATAGATGCTTTATCCTAGTCTAGATTTAACACAATAGCACCAACCTATCGACTACAATTAAGATCATACTTTAAAATTTCACAGTAATGCAGATATCATATTACAACTGGATGAAAATTTAATAGTCCATAGTTTAAATATTCTGTAATTTGATCTATGGAAAATTAATTATCCCTTGTTTTCAGTAATATATATTCTATTGTTCAACCATGGCTAAACTTGACCAATTATGATTTCTCACAAGAGATTCAATCATTAAAGAACTATGAAAATTAATTATCAAGAACGAGTTGTTAATTATTTTGAAGAATGATTTTAGAAAGGCTTTGACTGTAATTTTCAAAGTACTATTTTATCATGGAATAAAATTGAACTGGACAACTATTTCATTGACAAGGAAAATAATAACAATTATCACGTATTTACATGAATCCAAATTCGAGAGGTAATTTCCAGAGTTCTAATCGGAATTCATGACCTCAGGAGTTAAACCTAATCGGGTATCAAGCATATATCACCAGTGGCAATGGATGATATCTGCACAAGATCGTGATTCGACCGGAATTATAAATATAAACCCCTGAATGACAACTCAGCATTCTGTAGGTTAAGAGCCTATCACGGAACATTCAAGGTTTAGGTTTGTTCCCTAGCAGGGTTATTAATGTGTACTGCAGACGAGTCCCATAACTAGAACGAAACAGTTATTCAGTACTTTCGGTTTCCTAAAATTTATAACATCATTTAATTATTTTAATAAACCTCTTTTTTTTCTTCAAATCACAGAATCCGAAACATTACCAAAAACATTTAATTAATAGCCTAAAGCGTAGAAGTCGCAAGTGTAGCTAAGCTAAAATGTAAATAATAATCAGGAGTTTTACCAAAAATACATTTCCTAGAATGATACAATTATAGCAACAAAAGGATTCGGAACATTCTACTAGACAATACACAGAAATCAAGTACGATAGAAAATTACGGTCACGATAAGGCGATAAATCTGGTGTACTGTTCTTCTATATAATTCCAATCTTAAGCTGTGGATGGTCAATAGTTCTGTAATATGAAATAAATTTAAATAAATACTTCTTAAATACTCAAGTGTACTTTGTAAAATAGATCAATGTAAGAACATAGCTCTGAATATTTAGAACCTACTATATGCTTTACAAGAAAAAAAGGTAATTGATCCTCTGTGTTCTTTTAAACTACCCTATTAAATATTCTCAAATGTGATGAAACAGAGACCTTGAAAAACAATCTTTGTACCTGACTTCTTAAAAGTAGGTGGATGTTTACAATCAGGTAGAATTAGTCAATCGTATTAACTCATTAGCCATAAAAAGACATGAAATTGTAACTATGGTCTATCATACAAAGATTCACGGTATGAAGAGTCCTTCAGAATGACTTTTGCAGATAGTTCTTAAGTATATGTCTAGTAATATCTTCCTTAAATTTATGTCCAATAAATAGTATCTCCTTGGTGATTGAGTATTATTTATTCTGTATATATATTTTTTATTAATAAGCTCAAACGGATACTTCAAAAAGGCTCACTTTAGAGAAATCAGTTCATACTCCAAAAACTACTGATGACAAATCCTTTAGGTCAAAAAAAAGGTAATGACTAAAATTACTTTCTCATCTTACTGAAATTCAATTGCGAACGTTTTCTGACTAAACTATAAGATATAAATGACCTTTCAGTAATTATGAAGAGACCATAAGAAACACTAATTAATTAATAGGTTCAAAATATGGTAATGAATTAATGTTGTAGTGAACGAGAACATAGGCGGGGGCAAAATCGAATATATTTGAATACAACATCACAGAATTTTTTTTAGTAAACTCTAAGAACCATAAAGTAAATACTTCATTTATAAAATGTTTAACCAATTATCTCAGACTTGACAGTTTCTTCGTTTTCACAACAATCATTCTCTATTTTTGTTCTCTTTTCTTCAATCTTCTTAATCTTATACCTTCAAACATTTCCCATTCGATTGATAACAAATCGTACTTATATCTGTTAACATTATAGTAGCACACACCACACTATCTAATATGAATATCATGTTGCCATGTTGAGAATTATGATCAGAATCTTCATCACAAGTTGATATACACTGAAATAGTAGAACTCTATATTAACTACATAGACGAGTAAATTTCATTTATTGATTCATCAATGATAAACCCGTCAGTTTGTTCCCTAAAAATAGATCGTTTTAATGTTTCTGTTTACTATTTTTTTTTCCTGTAAAAGTTCATTCAATTTAATTTGTAAATATATCATATTCATTTATCTAAGTTATACAATTGCTAGGCCTAATTATTGTTATGTTTTAAACAATTATTACAAATGAGTTTGAATTATTGATAAGATTTAATGGAATGTTGTATATTTTTTGAATGTATCTACAGTATTGTAAATGATTTTGAATGATTTCATTTAAAGTATGTAACTATTGGCAACAATAATGATGTATATCTTAACTGGTAGAATAAATACTTAAATGAAGAAGATTTGTAGCTTAAATGAATGATTTTGATGAAGTTTTGTTCTTTGAGCTGAATGGTTTAGGTTGTGGAGGTTTCATTGTTCTTCTGAACAACATCATCAACACAAATTTTAGATAAAAGTTAAGTGTTCAAATTTCTTCACATATGGTTCATAGTTATTGTTGAGAAATCCATACACTTCACTTCTATTTAAAATTTATTCTGATGATGTCGTTCAAAAGATTAATGAAACCTCCACAACCTAAACCATTCAGCTAAGAGAATAAAACTTCATCAAAATCATTCATCTAAGCTACAAATCTTCATTTAAGTATTTATTCTACTGATTAAGATATAAAGCATTATCAGAATGAGCTTTGTGGAGAGTTTTAGAAATTTTAAAGGTTGAAATCATGAGTCAATTGAAGCTAGACCACCATTGAAAACCTGGAAGCACTGGACGGCCGTTTCGTCCTATTGTGGGACTCCTCAGCAGTGAGCACCCACGACCTCGCCCCCTGCGAGATTCGAACCCAGAACCTACTGGTTTCGCGCGCGGACACTTAACCACTAGACCACTGAGCCGGCATCCAACGGTGTTAATGTCTAACTTCAACCAATCCACGAAGTTGCGCCACCGTACACCATTGTCTTCAGTGAGTTGGTATCTCACAACAGACCTGGTTGAACTCCACTGGTAACGGCTTCTCACTAGAACATTATTATTGTTGCCAATAGTTACAGATTTTAAGTGAAATAGTTCAGAATTGTTCAAAATACTGTAAATGCATTCACTCATTATCTTTTGTTAGATCCGAAATTCCGAAATCTTTTTATATATTTTTATCTTGTTTCTTTAATTAATGTTATTTTGAGTACTATTGATCCTGTTACTAATTCTACTATGTTGAAATGTGTCTTGATGAATTTATCTCTCTAATTCAATGACCTGAAGCAAATTGAACCTATATGCATTTGCGTATAACTGACTGTCCATCAAAAATAATCTGAATAAATTGACTAGTTACAACAAACAATGTTGTCAACTGTTATAAAAAGCGATTTCTTTTTCTTTTTTAAATAATGTCGATAATGGTTATGTTATTTTTAAATTCATCATCTAATATGAATCGACTTCATTATTAAAAAGTTCTTTATACCATATATCTTAATCAAACAATAAAAACAGTTTACATTGATTAGTGATCATTGTCATGTCTATCTGGTCCTTAAAACTAAACAATTTTATTTTATCAAGTTGCTAAGTGGTCATTAATTTAAGTAACTTGACATTGCATACACTATGTTGTCAAAGTATGAATTCTTATTTGTTAGATTGTCCATTTCCTGGAGATGGATACTTTTGTATTAAGGACCATGAACTAATCTTAATCTTTAGTAGGATACTGTAGATAACATTGTTTAAAATCAATAGCAGTATAACTAAACCTACATACTTCCCCCCCCCAAATGTATCTATTGCTTAAATTTTGTTTGTATATTACTCAATATTTTTTGTTACTATGCTATACTATACTACTGTTATGTGTAATAAATTTAGTCTGTTCTCATTTGTATCATAGCTTACTTTGTTTATAACTGATTGTTAGACTTAAGTTTGATTCAAATTGATCTATTATCTTCAGACAATTGATTGGATAGTTAAACTGTCAATTCAGAGTTATACAATAATGAGATTAGTTTTACGTAGTTCCATTAATAGACATTTAAACAACGAAAAATGATAAGCAAAGATGAATAGTGACTAGCAGTAGAATCCCGGACGCGCGTTTCATCGTATTTAGGACTCGTCAGCCGGATGTACCTACATCTCAGAGTTTATGTTCACTTTGGGACTCGAACCCAGTACCGTCCGCTTCAAACACCATCGTGGTATTCACTTAACTACTGAGTCCTGGTAGCCACCTGCTTGTGCCATCGGGTGAAGTTATATTCAGTTGGCGTTGTTTACTTGTATCTTCCCACTGTTATTTAAGACTGAAATTTATCAGTCTCTTGTTGGCATATGTGCATATGAGTCCCAGAGTGAACATCAACTCTGATATGCAGATACATCCAGCTGACAAGTCCCAAATAGGACTAAACACATGTCCTGGATTCCACTGTTAGCCACTATCCATCTTTGTTTATAAAGCTTATGACTTCAGGCGATAACAAGGCGGTCCGCACAGGATGCATATATGCCAACAAGAAACTGGTCAATTACAACCCTTAACAACAATCGGAAGATACAAGTAAACAACATCAAGTGAAAAATGAAAAATTATATAAATACATCAAACAGTAACAATATACATTATTAATGATATAACTTACTTCAATTAAATCATAAATATCAATTATGTCACTATCATTCTTTTTAACTAAATCGAATACATAATCATAAACGCCTATTTGATAACGATTCCTATAAAGAAAAAATTATTTAAATACTCAGTGGAATAAACCGTTTACATATTTATTATAAGAAAATGTAGTGTAAGTGAGTATACACTTCATTGATTCCTAATTCAACTTTACAACTATAATGGGTAGTAATAATAATAATAATAATAATAGGAGATTTTAGATGCTTATGTCTAACGGGAATCCTAAAGGGAAGCGGAAAAGAGAAAGATCAAAGAACACATTACGTTAGAAAATAGAAGCAGATATGAAAAAGAATGAATAACAACTGGAAAGAGCTGGAAAGCATTGTTCAGGACAGAGTTGAATGGAAAGTCCTGGTGGGCGATATATTTCCCTCCACGAGGAGTAACAGGAGTAAGTAATATTTAATGGGCTTAAAGGCTGATAATAATTATTTATAAAAATACCGTACAAATATACCCCTGGTTATTACAATTTGTTGAGAACTAATTATTTGTATATGGGAAAATGTTTGTATAGATTCACCAGATGATGATGATGATGATGATAAATGAATAACTGTAATTCGAAGAGTGAAAAAAAAATAGTGTTATCATAAAGAGACTGCTGTTTGTTTTTCTAGCCCAACTTACTTACTTACTTACTTACTTACGCCTGTTACTCCTCGTGAAGGAGCATAGGCCGCTCACCAGCATTCTCCATCCAACCCTGTCCTGGGCAATCCTTTCCAGCTCCTTCCAGTTGTAATTCATCCTTTTCATATCTGCTTCTATTATCCGACGTAATGTGTTCTTTGGCCTTCCTCTTTTCCGCTTTCCTTCAGGATTCCAAGTTAGAGCTTGTCTCGTGATACAGTTTGACGATTTGCGTAATGTATGTCCTATCCATTTCCATCGTCTTTTCCTAATTTCCTCTTCAGCTGGAAGTTGGTTTGTTCTCTCCCACAGAAGGCTATTGCTGATGGTATCTGGCCAATGGATGTTGAGTATCTTGCGTAGACAGCTATTTATAAATACTTGTACTTTCTTGATTGTGGTTGTTGTAGTTTTCCAAGTTTCAGCTCCGTACAGTAGAACTGCCTTGACGTTCGTATTGAAGATTCTCACTTTGGTATTGGTTGAAAATTGTTTTGAATTCCATATGTTCTTCAATTGTAGGAATGCGACCCTTGCTTTGCCGATCCTCGCCTTTACGTCTGCATCTGAACCTCCTTTTTCTAGCCCAAACAGATCAGAATTTTACATCTTCAGTGTTATATAGAACCAAACACTTGCTATAAGGACTGTTGAAAAAAATGCTGTGTTTTGGTGATTAAAATCACTGTATACATGAGTATTTAAATCTGCAGCACTGAAATCACTGGTTATTTTTGACGTATAATAAATACACTGAAAGTTGTACATTACACTGTTTGTATTCTGCGCAATCGTCAAGATTTATCAAGAAAAGTATACAAATAATGTAAACTTAATTATTCCTGTTCTGCTCTGAAATATTGATTTTTGGTATTTTGTCGGTGAAAACGCTCCAAAGATTCCTACCAGCTTTCCATCAAAAATACATGAAAAAGTTCTATTTTAACGAATAGTGTCATGTTGATATGGTGAATAACTATGAATACAATATTGTAACATCAAATACATCAGTTTTGTCATCTCGATTAAATATTTTTAGGAAAAATTGGATAGTGAGTATTTTTTATGTTATAGTTTATCCTATTTAATTGAGAAAAACACTGGGTGACTAGTCTTTCATGAGAGACACTGTGGGTTTAAACCACTTAAATTGAATATTTTTGTTAGCTTGAGGTTAGTGGAATTGTGAATTTTTGTACATTTGTTGACAAAAAGAAATTCAGTACTATTATTTATCTTTTAACATAAGAAAAATTAAGTCATCAATTTTCATGCTTTACTCATGTAAACTTTTGAAACTAATGGTATTATCCATTATAACCAAGTACATTCTAGTACATAAACTACAGTGTTGTAATTAACACAAGTGTGTATTAGGACATCTACAACCATTATAATGTTCATTAGTCATATATATATATATATATATATATATATATATATATATATATAATTACAAATTTTAGTCTTAGGCGGATAAAAACTACTACTAATTTGTGTCATATGAAAAAATATATATTAGGTCCAATTACCTGACTACAATTGCAAACTTTAAACGTAAAACACTGGCTAGTGAACTACAATATGATATACAAGTAAAATAAGTATAAGGAATATATTTAAGAAATCATGGATAACACAATTTATTGAATGATATTTCGTGTCGTTGTTTTACTTAAAACTCTTAACTTCGAACCGAATGATTGTAGTACCACAGTAACCAGATTTCATTACATCAGATAGCCAAGTATTGCATGTTTTTCATTCGTAGTCCTATACAATATATGGCACCGACTTAGTATTCAGGCTTTTATCAACTGACGAGTTTAGCAAGTATATTTTGTTCTACCGTACTCTATCAAAGTGAATTACGAGCTGCTGTCGTGTGATGTTACAAAAATTGTTTGATCATAACTAGTTTAATCTCGATTGATAAATAACACGCATCGCGTGAAAAAATTGAGTTTGAACTATTATGTCTGGGAAACTGTCGATTTCATATTTATCTGATTTAGTTGTACAAGTTGGTGAGTGATTCAAAGTGAATTTCAGTTGCTAAGATGCTCTTATATCCCACCAGATTCGTCGAATAGGCATTTATTTACGCCTTCAATACTCGTGTTCTTTCCTCTTATTTTACGAACCTTTAGCATTTCTAGATTTCCTTTTTAAGTAAAACCAAAAACGATGGTAAGTTTAGACTGATATAGATTGAACTTTTCTAAGTTTATACATTTTTAGGGCCACAATATCATTTGCTCGAAGTTTATTCCATTTTGTAGGTTTTTTGAGGATGTTTACAACCTTATTTTGATTATGATACAGCATAATACTGATTGGCGCACATTAGCGCAATGCTAAATTATTGACGGTTAAAATAAGAATCCAGACTTGATACGGGAATTTCCTTAAACAAAGTTAAAATGGACGAATCGGTCGGTCATCAGTTTATACATTCACAATGAATAAATTATTTAAGAGCCGGGGTTCTGTTTCTATTTTTCCATATAACTATACTGATACTTTTTACAGCTCTGATACTTTGATGCTATTTCTATAGCTACAAATTATGAAAATATGATTTATACTTTAACACGAGACAATTACTAAAGACTAACTGACTGTATTTTATTTTTTCCCGTCGTTCCACACTCAATGTTTTTATATTTTGAGGCTGCAGCATTCAAAGTGTGTAAACTTCTCGTAGTTCTACATAAATTTATGGCACATTTTTCCTTTATCCATGGTTTAATGCGTTCACAGTTTTTGCCCTGAAAAGACCAAAAATCAGTTAGGCAATAAATAAATAGTTCATTAAAATTCTGGACAGTTCTTCGGACATAAGAAAAAGTTTTAAAAAATAGAATAGCTACAAAAACAACCTTTAAATGGTATCTCTGTCATAGATGTTTCGGACAACAAATTTCACCACTTCACTTCAGAATGTTAGTTATGCGAATGTGGCAGAGTAATTATCAAGTAAAATTTGTTAATTTCCATCTTTGCGGATAACTAACTATTTTACCTCATTAGCTACTATAGTGTATATTTTGGTTTATTGCTACCTATAATATGTGTGGTGTTTAAAAATCCTTGAAAGTAGCAAGCATAAGCTATGTGAGGGTCAAACACAGACCAGTTCATTTTATGTAACTGTAAGTATTATTATAGGTTTCTCTGTATCTACTAGACTTTCTGGTTTAAGATGACTAAGTCCGAAACTTATATACAGATTTGACCTAAGCTTATCAAGTAGGGTAGTTAGAACTATTAAATCGTTTAGATCGAACAATGTATAGAGATCCCGCTTTCCACCATTTGGTTAACTAGATTTATGATTCTACTAATAAGTAAAATGCCAAAGATGTGTGATATTTTTGTTACTCAGTATCTACCATGTAAATATTTACATGTTTATTTCACATTCGCCACAATACATACACTGGAGTTCAAAGTCTTCCCATGTCTTTATGGACACGTCTGCTCTTAAACACTACAGTCACTTTGAACAAACATGACAATTCCTATTTCTTCACATATACTCAACACTGTTAACTATCTTATGGCAACTTAGGTACTGGAAATAAACCATATATAAGAGAAATCACGTTCAAAAATGTTATGAAACCAGTCCGCACGTAAATAGTACATACAGAACCAAATAAACGATAATTTTGCAACATTCAGATCGCACTTTCTTATTCCGTTAAGCACTAAGGTATTATTAGTCTAGTCAGAAGAACTTTAATATAATAAGTGGTTCTTAAAATGTTGTAGGGTTAACTACACATCCACTTTAACGCCATATGATATGAATTTGGACTAACACTTAGAACTACAGATGTTTGAACAAACACGATAATAAGTCAAGTACAACTGATATAAACCATGTTTAGCAATTATGGCATATCACACGGCAAAACTTGATACAACTAAAAGCTAACCCCAAATGTCAGTTTGAAGCATAGAAAAGTTAAACCGATCTTTAGTAATTCAATACAATAATACTGAATAACTTGAACAGTGAACACCACTGTGTTTTTAAAAATTATTCCAAAGCTACCAGCTTTGGGGAAATTTTGGGGAATTTCGGGGAAATTTTGGGGAAATCCCCAAAGTTGGGAGCCTGGGTTGTAGATTGTAAGTAAACGAAAACTGAACAGAAACACTGGTTTCATCAACCATTTTGTACCACGAATTTACAATTCGTTTTTAGAGATACTATTCGAGATGGCTCTTACATAGAAGTAGGTCAGTCTAAAACCACGGAAAATCATTGAAACGGCAATATGTTCGATTCGCGCTCTTTATACTGACCTACAAGGTCAATCAAAATATTTATTCATAGAACAACCGTTATATCGTTATGTTTCTAGAAGCAGCGACAGTGTAAGTCAAGAGATTCTAAGAGCAAGAGCTATTACATTAAAAATCAAATGGTCAGTTGGTCGCAATGTGAAACGATGTGGGAAAAGTGGCACTTAGAAGAACGAAGACTAGAGGATTGTTGAATAAAATTTACTAATTGACTATTTCCGTAAGCAAAATATATAAACAAAAGTGCGAAATTAACGGGTAAATAGAAGTCAAGGGTAATAGAATGGGATTAGGTCAACAGTATGTAGTGACTCACATTTATCACGAGAACACGACTGGTTTAATAAAAACAATTATTATTATAACCAACTGTACCAGTGTTTGTTTTAATGTGCTTTTGTTTGACTGTGCTAATGACAGCTATATTTCGCTTCCATTCTTATACACACACTTTGATTGTAATTTCGCGCGAATTCGGTTACGTTCTGTAACCAAGCTTGTATCCTGGCACGATCTCGGTATCCTTTCGATACCACGAGATCACCAGCAAATATATCTCGACTTGGTCCATTAACTACCTTCTGATATTTGGCTTCTCGGGGATTTTATGGATTTATTTGGTTACGTTCAACCTTCGCCTTCTGTTTTACTTGGCGCGTGTTTATTGGTAGCGGTGTACATAGTCAACCGCGACTCGATGCCACGCTACAAGTATACGATGATAATCGTGATTGATAAGTTGAGAGATCGTTCAAGCGAGACGTAGTAGTCTATCGATGATTAAGTAGTTGTCAAGGCACTATGTTATTCATTGGTAGGATACTGATTACTTCGGTTAGGAGAGGATATTAAGTGATATCAGTACTTTGCGACAAGAACCATGACCGCACATGATGTATAGTTTATTTAGCGACTGAATTGAAACATGATTACTTTAAAAATGAAGGCGATAACTTTCCAAGAAGCATATTTTTTCAAATGTCCAACAGTCAACTATCATTATTCTAAGTAGTGAGAATATTATGCAACCGAAATTGAGATTATTAACAGCTTTCAGTTTATCTTACATTAAATGCTTGTACAGCTATCATTACTCCCTTTGGACTCTGAATTTTTGCGAATGCCTTGCGGTCTAAGAAACGCTGCCCAAACATTCCAAATGTTCATAGACGACGCCTGTCAAAGGTCTCAACTTCGTAGACGCGTATGTTGACGACTGCCTAATAGCAAGCCCGGAGAGAGAACCGCATCTTAAGCATCTGGATCTCGTTTTCGAACGACTACAAAAACATGGCATTACTGTAAACATTCAGAAATGTAAAATCAGAACCAACTCATTAGACTTTCTAGGACACACTATCGATGCTCAAGTAATTCGACCCCTTAGAACCCAAGTGGCGACCATTCTGGATTACCCAGAACCGACCATCGTCAAGTAGGCCATTACCGTTTATTCTCTAGAATACAGGAACTAATTCTTTTGGACCATAAGGGTTATCTGTAAGATCGTTATGAAATTTTTGTGTATGTAAAGCCTCCTACATACACATTGTTGTGAATCACTATTCTTGATTCATTCAGAAGTACAATTTGTTGATATTCTGATTCCAACCGAGATGGAACTATTTGTACCTAAATTGTCTTTTTTTCATCTCCACTAAATTTCCATGTTTTTCCTGAACTACGTCTATGTTGTTATAGTCGGTATTTAATTATAGTGGATGACGTACTGAATCATTCTCCTTTTTCATTGTGTTGCTTGAACTGACTGGGTTTGTGAAATTGTGATTTTGAATTAAAACATTTCTATAATTGAAAAAATTCTGTGCTATAACAAAATTAAATATCATCTTCTGAACAATCTGTATGTGATCTATCCAGAGAAGATAGAGTAGTATTCCTCTGTCGACATGAACATTAATTTGCTGCACTTGATAATTCTCAGATTCCCTACCAATTTACCTACTCGATGTAATTTAGATTTGGTCACTGATTGAACAACTATTTGATGAACAACTGAATTGTACTGTTTGTTAGTGAAATAACGTATGTTTGAGTTAATAACAAAGTTAGGGATAGTCATTTACCCTATCATTTTGTTTTGGCTCCGACTGGGAATGTACCTAAACTAACTTCAGCAGTCATTCTTATCTCCAAACCACAATATCGTCTTGGTCAGAGATCGCTCACTCCTGAATAAAGCATTGCAGCACAATGAATCGGAAGCTTAGAATTGATACACTTGTGATATCGGTCCATAACCGCTCGATCTTTGAAGCTGAATATAAGGCAACTGGGAAAATGCACATCTAACGTTCAACAGGTAGAGAAGGCCAGAAATTGTGAACGCGAAAATCGATCGGTATCGCGTAGCTCAGTGGTCATTATGTGTAACTCATACTTTTCACAATAAGTATGTTACTTTATCCCAAGCCGAAATGAGTACTCCAGAAGTACTTGTAAAGACAGTTCAATGTCACTAAACCATAGACTAAACATCTGACAGTCAGATCACTGAATATCGGACAGATTGTAGATCTTTATCACGGGCAGCCAGTGAGCATCAGGTAATTGCACACCATGGACTGGCCAATGCGGTAGTGGTTACACTCGGTTTCTTGTACCATTATTACCAACATATTTTTATGCCAACGTCGTTTGTGTTTTATGGTTACCGAACTAGCCAAAGTACCTGGACACGACGTAGAGGTAGTCCGTGTTAGGCACCAAACGTGAGGTGTGACTTCGATATTAGCTGGTTGGTTACACCACTCCCGTCCAACTCGAGTAGGCTTCAATCAGTCGTTAAAGAATATCTACGCTGGTGATCTTAATACTAAACATCATACTGCTGACTGTCACGTGGGACGAGTCAGTTTAGAGAATTATATGGCTTCCACGTACGATCATGTACATTAAGTAGTCACATCATGATAAATCTACAATTTTTGAATCAGGTCTATTGTTGTAGTAGCAAAGATAAATGTGCTGATTTTGAACTAGAACATAGTGTAAGATCCATTTTAAAGGTTTTGTGTGTTGGTGAAAATCCCTCCATGTATATACTTGTACTTTATTCCTATTGATCACATTAGTTGTACATTGTTGTATTTTGATTACATTTGAGTTGTTAATACTTGTATTTTTTATTATAGTTTTTGTTTTTCTTACGCATTCACTAAGTTTGTGTTTCTTCCTGAACTGCATCTGTGTTGTTTTACTTGACACTTGTTCTTGGCGGTAGCCATATTGATTTGCTCCTCCTTTTGTGTGTGTTCTATCCAGTCAGGATAGAATAACGTTCATTTGTTGTGAATGGTAATTTTCCCTCATCTTCTATCAACTTCTTTATTTATTGTAATTTAGATTTGATTGATTGAGCAATTATTGGTTGAATAGCCGGGTGGTAATATTTGTTTAGGTAACGACTTACATTTAAATTTATGATGAATTATAGAACCGCTATTTACCCGATTACTTGTTCTGATTTCGACGGGAAAGAGCGCGTGTCTAAAGTCACGGAAGGCTATTCTTCAACATCCAAACCGTAGTTTGGATCCTACACATAGATCTACACACTTATATTCCGGTTTATCAAGCATTATTCACAGTCAATCCACGCACTCTGATATTCAATATTCATCTTCCGTGTGGACAGCGAGTTAAATCCTTGCTCATCAATGTCGTACACTGAAGTCGTCAATAGGTTCAATATCGCTTTTAAGTTACACTGATTCGAGAAACGATGAGTCTACTGCAGATTCACGGAACCTTCCTGTCCATCACGCGAATAATTACCTCCATTACCATGTCGAAATAAAAACCTTAATGTCAGTTCAATTCGGTATTATTCATATTTTCACTCAGATGATTGATGAGGCTTCTCATGAAATAAACTCACTAATAGATAAACCCATGATCATAACTTGTCAACCTGTCAAAAGTGCTATCATTTTGATAGCCAGTTTATAATAATACGTAATTGCTCAAAGCACAAAGCGTTATTACATAAATGTAATAGTAAGAATAGGTACAAAAACAGAGTACAGCAACTGCCTCATGTTCCTATCCACGATGCGCAACTGATTGATTGTCACCATCCTGACGGGGATTTTTAAACTGTTAGATACTTAGTGAACTGGCTTCTGGACGATTTGTCTAGGTCCGTGAAATTTCCCCGGCATCGTAAATAAGTATCAGAGAAATACTGCCTACAGAAATGATCATGATTTTCTCGACTTACTACTGTTTGGAACAGCTTATTACCAATTTAGTTACGACGAGACCAAACTATCTATAACGTCTGCAACTACCGTCTGAAAGCAGAGCCAATGAACAAAAGTCTATTCTTCTGTACAGCATACGAAGTGTTTTTGAGTGACTCATATTAAATTATATCAAAACGCAAACCGTGTTTAAATTAGGTGGTTTTAACTTTGAGAATAAATTATATCAAAAGTGTAAAATTCCTCAAACGGTACAGCCTGTGTTGTACAGTCAGGAGTTTTTCTAACACAATCTAATGTGCTAAACAACAAAAGGAAGAGTTAATAAACAAGACATCGATACCTGTGAATGGACAAAAATATCCTTAACAAGATAGGATCAGGTATCTATCTACATGGATCTCAGAAAAGGTGAGATCATAATTTATGGACGACCTTTGAGCAATGTTAAAATGACTTTGAGAGTGTCTATCTACTTACTAGGGCTAAATGAGGGTTATGATTTGCAGTTGATGGATAGGGTTAGGAATTAGATTTACGGTTTTTCATCACGAAATAAGATCAGCTATAATAACAAGACTCTATTTACCCAAGTGAGTGAGGGAATTTCGCCCCAAAATCTAAAACCTATTATCGTAAATCTAACTGGTTCGTCCATAAATTATAGTCCCGCCCTACGACTTCATTGTCAATAGCCTAGCGATATGCAACAACGAGAGTGAGTAGCAAAAGCT